CTTGATTTACTGGCATGCCTGTGTGCAAAGATTTGGGTATAAATATAGAACAAGTCATGGCATTTGATGGTTCATGACTTCGAAACAAAATTCATTGACCTTCATTGGCTACCCACATTTATTCCTTCCCATATTTCTAAATACTATTAATATACTACTTCTCTGCTAGATACCTAAGCGTTTGGATTCATCTTGACTCTGGTTGAACAAAGGGTCATGAAAAAAAATGAGATTTAATTTTGTTGAGGAGCGTTTATTGTGTTTTTATTGACCTTATCTATGTTGGGTGCAGAAGATTTAAAGAGAAGAAACACTCAGTATTTACCTGTAAGAAATTATAGGCTAGTAAGTGAATCAGGCACAAAAACCAAATGAGGACAGTTAAATGTGATAACTGCCAAGAATTTAAATACGAACTAAGTCTTGTTGAACTACTGAGGGAAAGAAATTGTTCTTCTTGAGGATACCATGGAAAGCATCCCAGAGAAAGTGCTATTTGAAATGTATCTTAAAGAATAATGAGAGTTGAGGAGGTGGAGGGGTGGAGAGGTCACTCTAAGCATGCAAAGTTTAAAGAAGATTCCAGGACTTAGTTCCTATGCTCTAGATTTATCACTAGGTGTTTGTGGGGAAGTTATGGGAGATGAGATCTGAAAATTATACAATCTGCTGTAAGGGTGTGAACTCTTGAGTTTTCTGCTAATAAGTTGGGTTAGTATGCAGATTTTGTTGAACACTGAAATAAATAAACGTATCATGCTAGCATCAGAATTTGCTTCCCCCTTCCCTTTAAAAGAACAGATGGTTCAATTTGAGTATTTGTTATTTTTTTTGACTTGTAAACTACCTTTAACAGTGTTTTTGGTGTTAGTACTTACTTTAGTAGTAGTGATATGAATTATATAAAATTATTACTATTTAACCATTCTGACCTACAAAAGCATGTTTCATATGGTTCAGACTGTATATTACAGCAATAATATCTAAACTTTTAAAATCATTTTAATGATTTTATGTAGTTGATAATAAAATATGCTACTTAGTACTTTTTAAAAAAATTATAGAATATATTATGATAGTATCATAAAGTTTAATATAATTTATACTCTTAAAATAATTGTTAACCCCTTCTTATTTACAAATAGAACACCTTGTTTTTTAAAATACTATTAAATTATATAATGAAAAACATAATTTCTGTTCAAATTTTCAATGATACTATATCATGTTGATCCAGGGAAAAATGAATGTTAACATGTTCATATACCATCAATAGTGGACAAAAAGCAGTTTTCATAACCTCATGTCTGAAATTGCTGGAACTTATTTAGAATCTCAATGAAGTTGTTTTTGTAAAAATGTTCATGATTTTTAATAAAGAAATAAAATTTATCTGTAGACATTTCTCCAAAGCCCGAGATGAGCAAGGGTCTCCCGGTTTCTGGTTCCTTTGTGATGTATTCCATGTGAGGCAGGCCAGTTTTCTTAACTACAAGCCTGTGTAGTGTAACCTTATCTACACACATCTTCCAAGAGTTTCATTTACTTTTCTCTTGAAAACTAGTCATCCTAAATCCACATAGGTAAATGAAATAGTCCCTTCATAGTCCATAATTTCTTCCCTTGAAAATGGTGCCCTAACTTTATTTTCTGTTTTTTTTTCTCAAGTCTGCCATAATTACAACTGAGCAAAAGTTACTTGCTGATGGCTGTTTCTGAGTTTTATCAAAGAGACTTTGAAAACCTCCTACTTGTGTGACTAAATTTAAATTCTAGCTAAGGAATTTTAATTCTGTTCAGATTCCCATCTACGGGAATCAAAGAAAACGTCAAGAGAGCAAAACAAAGACAAGAAAAAGCTACTTCACAGAACAAATGGTAATTTATCCTGTCAACTAAATTTTATCAAATGGCTGCTATGTTTACAGATGCTTCTTGGCTTTGAAAGGAAAAAAATCTGTTTTAAAAAAAGTAAATATTCAATTCCTAAATATATTTTATGTCCTGATGAACAAGAGCTCTATGTATTAGATTGGCTTCCCCATGAGAAAGCTTGAGGCTGAGATAAGGATATGGGGGAAGGGGATTTATTTGGGAGGTGTTGCCAGAAAAGTAATGAGGGACTAAGGAAGTTGAGATATGAAAAGAGCCACCAATAAAGATAAATTATATTGAGGTGAATGCTAGGAGCAACTGGCAATTGCTCTGGGCTCTTTGAAGAAAGGTGCAGAATCCTTTCAGAATTCCCATACTGAGCCCCCATTTCTGTGTCTGCCACAATCTACCAACACAATCTACTACAATCTACCATTTTTTTGAGTAAGAAAAATAGTTGAAAGTTACATTGGCAGACAGGAAAATGTTGCAGCAATTTTAAGCTGTGAAGCGCAGATGGAAAAAAAGGGTAGATGGAAAAAAATCTTACGGAAGAGCACATGTGGTGCTTTGTAGAAAGTAATATTGTGAAGGCTGAGGGAAGAATCTTTATAAATTCCTACTCACATTTAGAATTTAGCTCACTGCAAATTCCTGCTAATTCTCATTGCTCTACCCTCACAGGCTCACTCTTTTCTGCACCCTAACCATAGAAATCATGAGGAAAGACCCAGAGACAAAGGTTTTTGTTATAATGATTTATATCTGATCTTCATATTCTTTTACTATATGTCTGAGCAAAGAAAGTTGTTGTATCTCTTAGCTTTCCAGTACCTTCACTTCTGAAATAGATTAGATGGTTTCTAGGGTCTCTTTTAGGCCCAGAATTAGTTATGATTTGCATCCTCTAAACATGCTCATCAATCAGTCTTGCCTCCAGCATCTTCCTTCTCTAAGTCATGTGTGCACAGTTATGTGCATAGGGAAATAGAATTTTAGAAGGTGACTGCAGATTATTGCCTGTACCGGTAGAATCTCTGTTAAATGTCTGAGGTTCTGTCTATTACATTGTATTCTTTGAGTTAAAGTATATTTTCAGAAATATACTTTAACACATAGTAAGTGTAAAATATTCAATATATAAATAAACCGGGAGCAGTAGATACCATAGTAATAGAAATTTGAAATCTAAGCCTGGGAGCAGTGGCTCATGCCTATAATCCCAGCACTTTGGGAGGCTGAGTTGGGAGGATTGCTTGAGGCCAGAAGATTAAGACCAGCCTAGTCAACATAGCAAGACCCCATTTCTAAAAATAAAAATTAAAATAAGAAATAAGTTCCAAATACAATTATAAAGAATAGTTACCTAATTAGATTATCATCAGATGGACAAATTGGGTTCCAAGGGCAAAATTTAAATATTGGCAAGATCATGACCAAAATATAACCAGTAATACATTTGATAATGTTTTCTGCTGCAAAAAGTAATAAGAATGTGTGTGTACGGGGGCCTTCCACTGTAGTTATCCTCATGGATGAAGAAAAGAAGTTATTTTTGGATTAGCTTACAATTTCTCTGATGCCTCAAACTCAACCTTTTCAATGATCAGTTCTTATGATGTAAAAGCAAATATTGAAATGATACTACTTAGAAGTGAAATGTCATTTCCTCAATTTTTTTTTTATTTCTAAAATATCTATTTTTTCCAATTCATAGAAATTTTTTTCCTCATTTCTTTCACTGGTATGTTGACCAATAAGTGAAGAAACTTCTAAGCTTAAAAGGCTTAAAGAGAGTGGAATACATTATTTAACATTATTCTTTGTAAACACATACCCAGTTGAACAACTATGTAGAGAAAAGAGGGGCTGTTAACCATTCTCTGCTTCCAAACACTCTAAGCCAGGACACAGGGAAAAGCAACAATGACTCCACCCCTCTATCAGACAAGGCCAATATCCATTGTGTAGGTAATTTCCAGGATCATTCATAAAAACTCAAGGGAAATGAGACAGGTATAGCACATAATTTTGATGATTTTCTAGTTCAATTATAACATGGCATTTTCATGTTGTTTATCCTTCTGTATTAGATACATAATTTATTATTCATTAATAAAATCAAGATTTTAATGTGGTTCGGGATTTTAAAGATTACCATCAACTAAAACAATTTTTCTTTCGGTGAGGAAGTTGATATGTACAGAGGGTAAGTCAATTTTTCTCATATTACAAAGGTAGTGGTAGAGCCAAGACTAGAAATGAGGTTTCTGACTTCTAATGACTTTGGTTAATTAGAAAAAATTTCATCATGGTGATGTAAAGGTGAAGTAAAGGCTAGGTGCTGTTCCTGCATATAGTTCTTAGTGAGTAGGAGTGGTGTGCTAAGGATAAGGCCATGAAGCTTCTATCCTGGCTTAATAGTTCTTGGGGCAATTGCATCGAGCCTAGATTAATAAATAATGTTTCTAGGAGGACTATTTTTTATCACTGATATTATTTAGAATTATGGGCACATGGCTATCACTGTTTTAAAAGTCTATATAGACAATGTATCCTAATGTGGATGACTCCTACCACCATGTCATTGGTATGCCACAGATGAACAGTACACTGATAATGTCCATTTAAATTCCAGTACAACATGTTGGGAGCTTAACTGTTGCTGTTTATTAGATGATATTTAGATCAGAAGAACTCTGATGATTGAATGGAAATGGCTTTGAGCATGTACCCAGAGTTTATTATATAGTTAATTTCCCTACAGGTGTTAAAATTCAGTCTTTGATCTATAAATTAATTGCTTTTTACAAGCTCATTGTCTTATGTATCCTAATACTAAGCCAAATGCTTTCTTGGGATTGAATAAATGTAATTTTTTAAACTTGGTCTTTATTGATTCATTGAATGTTTGTTACTTTGAATATAAAAGCAGAACTTGGCAAGTCATATGACTCAATTTGGCAGATCACTCACTCTTAGCAAACAAACTGTGCCCAACATAAATCCACTCTAAAGTTGACAGAGGTTCTGTACCAATGGAAATGAGAAGTTAGCTAAGAGTACAAGAAGCATGCTGATTGGCTGGTGCAGGGTAAGCAGGATACATAAAAGGCACCTGTGGAACATCTGGGAAGGTCAATGATAGCATCTGCCTAGAGTCAAACCTCAGTGCTTCAGACTGCCTATTCACCATGAGTGGGTGCCTATTTTTAGAAAATAACTTTGGGTGAGTATTTATCTTTATTCTGAGTGGGTTTAGGCTCTTAGTAGCATGAAGTATGAACATTTTAATTTCTGAATTTAAGGAGCATTGAAAACTGTCACCTTTATTCCTTTGTCTAACAATCTAAAGAAAATTTGCAATGAGAATTTCAATCATCCGTATCATTAGTTAGCTGTGTTTTCTAATGCACTATTTTTCTCTCTTGATTTATTAAATTTGCAGATATGCTTCAAAAAATCTCCCTTTAGAAGGCAGTGAAGAGGGAAAATCACAAACTGGTGTGAATAGAGCCAGTAAAGGAGGTCTTATCTATGGGAACTACCTGCATGTAAGTGACAGGGTCCTTACAGGGTTTGGTGTCTATTGCTAGGCACTCAATTCTGCCAAGTGACTTTTTAATGATTTTGTTTCTTGGATTTTTTTTTTTTTTCTCAGTCACCAATCATTTTCTGGACCTAAGAATATCCCTCTTCATAAACATTTTTACATTTTCAACTTTCTTTAGGATAATTCAAGAGACTTATAGGAGAAAATTCATCTCCAGTGGAAGTAAAAGCAGAGAATTCAGAATCTGGGCAGAGGCATATACATGATTAGGTGCACTGTGGATAATTTGCAGGCATTGGGCAACTTGTATAAATAAGACATGGTTAACAAATGCCAGCCTAGATAACTGCGAATGCATCTTGAAGGAATTCTCTTTTAAAGCTCTTATAGTAGAGTAGAAATGTTAAAGGCACACGGATAATTTTCTTTAAATCTTTAACATATAAAGAGGGATGTTAATGAACAAGGTGATTAGAGATTCTTCTGGGCCAAGTTTCAGCCTGGTTCGTCTTCTATTTTTTTTTTTTTTAAGAAGCAAAACGATTAGAGTCCTTGATGGATGAACTGATAAAGAATGTTAAGATGTTCCTTGAATAGGCTCTTCAGGGGAATAAAAGAATGGGAAATGCATAGTCAGCTCAGCAAGTTTTGAAAGTTTCATCATATTCATTTCATGAGAAGGGATATGACTTCTCAAAGAGCATAATAGGATGTATTATGATCAAATCCTACCAAATAGAAATTTTCTGAGAAGAATAAAAATCACAAATTCAATTCACTCTTAATGATGAGATTCATTGTTTAAAAGAAAATAGATTGGTTTCTGAGCATTTTGGGTTTGGAGGTACACTTTTCATTTTCATATTCTACTTCTTTACTAAAGTTGATAAAAACAAAGTTCTGCAATTTCAGACAGGCTTTTTATTTTTCATTTCAAGTTGGAAAAAGTTTTGAATGCACAAGAACTGCAAAGTGAAATAAAAGGAAATAAAATCCATGATGAACATCTTTTTATTATAACTCATCAAGGTAAGTTGCACAAAGGGTTTGGACAGTAACTATTCCACAGGCATTTCTTACTGATAATGAGGAAAGTTATAATTTTTAAACTGTAAGATGATGAAAGATCATGGAATTAACTCTGTTAGAAATGTTTGAGAATATTTTGCTGCCAGATAAATTCTCGTAGGACCTATATAAGGATTTAAATAGCCATCTTCATGCTATCCCACTGCTAACTGGGTGAAGTAGGACTTTAGCTTTGTTCTTAACTCCAAGGGGACTTTCTGCCTCTTGGAATTTCACAAAGAATTCGCAAGTGAAGATGTTACTGTTTCTCACCTTGGAACACTAAAAAACTATTTTCAAGATTATTGAAATTTATGGTGGGTTGACATAATCCTGTAACAATCTGTTAATAAGCAAAAATGTAAATTTTGTTCAAAAATGTATGTTTATCCTTTCCAGATTTCTATAATAATTTTTTGGCAGTGATTTTTTTTAGCCTACGTGTCCATGACTTTACAAGTTTAGAAGGTCTCTGAATTCTGAAATTATGCACAAATTTTCATGAATATTATCTTTCAGAGGTCTGTGACCCCAAAATATTAGTAACATTGACTCTAAGCTTTTCAGTGCCACTATACTGTCCTCTGAATGACTGGAGCCCAATCACTCCTGCCTGCTAGTGCCCCACATCTAGATGTGTTTCCTTGCCTTACCAATTCTCTGTGTTCTTTCACAAATGGGTGCTTTCCAAACTGATTGACTAAATTAATAAACTCTTTCGAGTAAAGAAATTAAAAGCAAAAACATTGGCTTATTTCTCCTGTTTTTATGTTTATACTTTTATTGGTGGCTTATGCCAACGAAAATCAGTAAGAGAAGAATCATTGTATGGTAGCATAAATTAGGAATTTCAAAATTGTTTAGAATCTCAATTCTGTTTTAAACTGTGTGACTTTGGTCAAGTTGCTTAGATCACAGGACTTCCATTTACTCATATGTAAAATGGAGAGAATTGCTGATGCTCTCACTTATAGAGTTTCTACGAAGATAAATGAGATAACGTGCATTAAGCGCATAGCCTGCAGTATAGTACGTAATAAACATGCAACAAATGGTAGCTATCATTATTTTATAAAAACACTTTTCTTCTATTCTTTAGTTATAATATGTATCCAGTGGTTAAAACGCTATACCTTTTTAACATAGGGTTAAAAAGATACACATAAACTGAACAATAAATACTTAGTTGTTCTTTGCTCACATATAAAAATTAGGTCCCCCAAAGTCTCCTTAAACATAACTTAAAGTTATAATTGGATTCTCTTAGCATCGAAACAAGACCTTTATCCATATGATAGAGCCAAATAGTATGCACTGAAGATCTCTAAGATTATTGATTTCCTATGCTGATATAATTATTACATTGTCTATTTAATTTATTCATAAAATAATCACCCAATGTTTACTTTCTGCCTAACAGCTTGCTAGATACTGCAGAAAAATGGATGAATATGAGCAATCCCTTAGTTTTTAGTGGCATAGAATACTATGGGAAGGACAAGCCAATAGGAGAGCCATTTATATTTGCTATGAATCATCTGGTAACACAAAGGAGTCAAAATGTCTCTCCATGGCTATCATACTGCTTTAAGTCTTAAGGTTTTGGAGCAGAGGTTTCCAATTGTAGACGGGTAACTGATCATTTTACAAATGAGTCAACTGAAGTTAAATAAGATGATTTTGCCCCAATTGACATAACCACTAACTTCAAGCAGATTGATACCAACTACGCTTCTTCCAATATGTCATTATTATATCACTTTTCTTTAATGCCAATGTCATTGTTTGATAGCCCCTAGTAAAAGGAGAGAACAAACTTAATATTTCAACAGAAAAGTTTTGGCAGGATTCGGGTTTAAGCAAACAAACCTTGGACTCATGGAAATTCTGAAAGACGATCTACTGGATAATGTGGACTCAATTGCAACAAAGTTGCCCCTGGGAATTAACTGTGACAGTCATATGAAGCTTTGCCTTTTTCATTTTGCCACAAACATCTGGCCACTTTCCCATATGTCCTAAGTCTATGAGTTGCTAAGATTTTCACAAATGAAACAAAAAGACAAAATGCTGCATTTTAAGTAACTTAGCTTTTTATTTTCCAGTTCTTAAAATCCTACAGTCTTTCATTTAGGTTAGGAAATAGTAATTTCTCAGTTTGTGGTTTGTGGTTGAAGTTAATTATCACTCTGCTTCCTCACATACTTCCAGCTTTTATAGAGGAAGCTAAATTAGGCTATGTGCTGTATCCTCAGAGACCTAAAAAATGCATTTGCTGAGAGTAATTACTGGTAATGAATATGAAGCATTAGGTAACATGCCTAGCATATTAAAACATTTAATAAAAGGAGGCTATTTCAACTTTAACACTAACAATTATTTGTGGCATACAATGGGATATTTACATTTACTGATTTTAAGGTAATATTTTAATTTCTCTTTTAATATGATAACTGTATTTTTCATATAATAGTGGTCAAAAAGGCTCCCATAACTTTCCAATTGACAAATGATTTCCTTATTACAGCTTATGAACTCTGGTTTAAGCAAATCCTCTGGGAATTGGATTCTGTTCGAGAGATCTTTCAGAATGGCCATGTGAGTTCTTACGTCACAATGTTGGTTTCATACATATTTTTAGAAGATTTGGAAAGTATTATAAATGAGAGAAAAACATTAACACCAAATCGTGGCCTTACTGCTTAATGTTAAAAACAAACAAACATTTTCTGAATGAATGAGGCGTTCAGTCATATTTTCCCATTGCTACTCCAGAATTACATGTGACTTTAAGGTTCCTTTCAAATTCCAGTTCCAAGCCCCTGGTTTAGAACTCATTTCCACCCACAAAGGTGTTATAAATGATGGTGGATTCCCAAGCGAAGAGGGATCCTTTAATGAAGAGGTACTGGAGTTGTATTTCCAGTAAATATTAGCTGCAGGAAGATGGGAGCAATAATAAAGAAAGTGAAAAAGAAAGAGAAGGAGGCAGTAGAGAAAGAGTAGTGGGAGGAAGAAAAAGAGGAAGACAAGGGTGAAAGGGAGAATGGGGAAGAAAAGGACAGGAGGGCAGAGTGAGAGGAGACGAGGGAAAACTTCCGGGGTTTGACCTGCACTGCATCTCCCACCCCACCTCCTCCTGCCATGGCCTCTGAGGATCCTGCCTTGGGTCCTCTACCTCTGACCCCCTGCTCCAAGGAGGGCTAGGAGCAAGAGCACACACAGACGGGTGGGACTTTCCCTGCATGTGTGAATCACTTTCCAACCACGTCAGGGGCAACTTTGGCCCTCAGTAAAGAGTAGGCGGTCCACATGTTGTTTAATCCTCACCAAGAATTTCCTGTGTTATCTTGACCTCCCTTCTTTGAAACAAAACTAAAAGAGAAACTTGTTTTGAAATCAGTGGGGGGTTGTATTCTAGAATTTTCTTTTGTCTTGCTTGTATATTATTTTCTATAGTCAAAGAAAGAAAAAAAAAAAATCCAGGCCCGGCGCGGTGGCTCAAGCCTGTAATCCCAGCACTTTGGGAGGCCGAGGCGGGTGGATCACGAGGTCGAGAGATCGAGACCATCCTGGTCAACATGGTGAAACCCCGTCTCTACTAAAAGTGCAAAAAATTAGCTGGGCATGGTGGCACGTGCCTGTAATCCCAGCTACTCAGGAGGCTGAGGCAGGAGAATTGCCTGAGCCCAGGAGGCGGAGGTTGCGGTGAGCCGAGATCTCGCCATTGCACTCCAGCCTGGGTAACAAGGGCGAAACTCCGTCTCAAAAAAAAAAAAAAAAAAAAAAAAAAAAAAAAAAAAAAAAAAAAAATTAAAAAAAAAAATTCAATTTTGCAGAGATTCCTTGCATGCAATTCAGAACTGTTATTAGTTCAACATATACTCTTGGCAAATTTTTGTTTCAAAGTTTCCTTTTAAAACAAAATGAGAGATGAAATGAATGGGAATGCAGTGTCATTGTCTATTTCGTATTTTCTAGAGGTGAGCGTTGCTAACTCAGTGTTTCATTTCTTACCCATCAGGTCAGAGATGAAAGGAACATGCTTAAGGTGGTTTCTCGGATGCACCGGGTGGCAGTCATCCTTAAGCTGTTGGTGCAGCAATTTTCCATTCTCGAGACGATGACAGCCTTGGACTTTAATGACTTCAGGTGTGTACCTCTGGCATTTAAAAAAATGAGATGAAGTTTACTTTCTCATTTCAGCGGGGTAAAAGGAGCAGGTGTGTGTTGTGTGCCATGAGGAGCCTGTCTTACTAACACTTTGTCACTATATGGATTTAGGGGTCTTCAATCACAAAGCATTTGAGAAGTTATTAAAAATATTTTATTATTCATTTTTACCTGTAAGCATAATATGATTAATTAATTTAAATTCATCGCTGTATGTCCTGTGTTTCTCCAAAAAAATTTTTAGGCAACTTCACACATTGACTAAAATACATGTAATTACATTTGAAAAATACAAAAAAAACGGGAGTGATATATAGAGAAGCACATCAATCGAAGTAGACGTTATGAATTAAACCATAATGTTAGCTATACATTTCAAGGTAATACCATACAGATAGCTTTTTTCTTACCAAAATATGAGAAGGAAAAATTTGAAGAATCTTTCATTGGATGTAGGATGTAACAAGCAATGTCCTGAATATGGCCAACAAAGGAAAAGTAGAGTTCGTGGCGAATTTAAAACGTTAAAGTCTTAGCAGCAACAAAAAGACATTCACAAGGATGTAATATGGGGAGTGGGAGTAATAACATTTTTTGGTATTCGATGATGTCTAAGTCACCCATTTTTCTGATTTCAATAACAGTCAAATCACAGGTCTAATACTAGACAGTTGTGTGCATTTGCTCTTGATATCCAGGAGAGTAAAACTGACTATTTCTTACAGTAGAATAAATCATTATGGTGATTGCTAATCTTAAGTCTTTTCTCTTCTCTTCCCTCCCCTCCCCTCGCCTCCACTCCACTCCTCCCCTCTCCTCTCTCCTCTCTCTTCTCTTCTCTTCGCCTTGCCTTGCCTTCCCTCATTTAATCCCAAAGAGAGTACTTATCTCCAGCATCAGGCTTCCAGAGTTTGCAATTCCGACTATTAGAAAACAAGATAGGTGTTCTTCAGAACATGAGAGTCCCTTATAACAGAAGACATTATCGTGATAACTTCAAAGGAGAAAATAATGAACTGCTACTTAAGTCTGAGCAAGAAAAGACACTTCTGCAATTAGTGGAGGTACGGGCTCGCATACAATTTCTAAAGTTTTAAATCAATACATCTTCTTAATTTAGCTTTTGCTAAGTCAGAATTTTAAAAACGTATCAAAATTGAGTTACATTCATTGGATATAAGGATAGAAAGAATTCATAAAAATACTTGAATCTGTTCATTCATGTTACTAAAATATTGAAAATGTCAAGGACCCTGCTGAAAACTTCAGAAATACTTATGTAATCAATTGTATGTTAAATATTTAATAACCTCATCATCTCAATAAAGCAATTCCTTAAACATCCCTACTAAGTAACACTTAATTAGCTGATTTTTAGAGTGAGTATTATTATTTAGTGAGCTTTATTATTTTAAAATATTCTGTAATTGAAAATTTCCAGTTATTTAGTATTTTTCTGAGCTGAACTAAATTGCTAAGAATATACACCACAGAAAATTTTCCCTTCATATCCAAATTCCCTAAAGGTGTATAAGTAGCCTTCAGGATTACTTTTTTCTTCAAAAATAGATTACCATTATTATTATTTTTGTATTTTTAGTAGAGACAGGGTTTTACCATATTGGAATGGATGATCTCAATCTCCTGACCTTGTGATCTGCCCACCTCGGCCTCCCAAAGTCCTGGGATTACAGGCATGAGCCACCTCACCCAGCCCCAAAACAGATTATTAAACAAAGATTGCATTGACTTGGTTTCCATTACAAAACCTTTTCCTCTGTGAATTTACTTTTACTGTGTTGGGTTACATTCTGCTCATTAATCCCCTGGGTATTGTAAAGGTGGATTTAGGTTAATGTATTATATATAATGCCAAATAATGGCATGTAAGAATAGGGAGAAAAATAATTACAAAACTAATTTCAGATTTATAATAAGTAGGGGTTAAATGAGGACCCACAGAGGTACATGAATTTAGTTTTATTTCTAGATTTAAAAATATTTTAAAATCTCAAAGTAATTGCATGGATGGTTAATTTCAAAGTTGCTAAGTATACAGAGCCCATGAATTTAGAAGCGATCATATATTATAATATCATAATTTCTTCAGCTCCTAAGACATAAAGTAAATTGAGAATAAACCAGAAGATATCAGTAAAATAATTATTAGGAATATACTCTTTATATATGTTTAGATAGAACATATGTTTAGATATGTTTATAGATTTCTAGAAGACAACTGGAATTTCTATAATCACATATTTCTTAAGGAGTAAAGAGTAAACATTATTAACAGTTGCTATAAAAATTAAGGAAATTGAATATATTATTCCATAAATGAAGAAATTAAAGAGAAACAAAAAAATTACAAATAAAACGTGTATTATATGTTTCTGGAAACCATGAAGATTTCTTGTCTTAAGTTTATTAATGTCAGTTACAATGCATTTTACATAGTTTAAATTTTATCATGTATTCACTTAAAAAATGTTTATTTAAGGCATGGCTGGAAAGAACCCCAGGTTTAGAGCCAGATGGATTTAACTTCTGGGGAAAGTTAGAAAAAAATATCACCAAAGGCCTAGAAGAGGAATTCATAAGGATTCAGGTATTTAATACAGAAATATTCAGAATTTTATTTTAATTATTTTTTTGTTTTTCTCTTAACCTTTCATTTTCTTCATATTCTTTTTCTTTCACAAATGTATTTTTTTGGACTGTATTACATGATTGATTTAACTTTCTTTATGTGGGATAAATATTATACTAAAGTAAGACCTTTATTGCAAGGGAGAATTTCGTCTACGATAAGTAGCTGAAATTAATTACTTTTTTATTTCCATTGAAAATTCTGTATTAGGACCAATTCTAAACAGAACTAGGCTCATAATGGACTAACCAACCAAATCTCTTTGGCCCTGTAACTTTGCTTTCACTTTTGCATATTTACTGGGTGCTTTCTGGCAGCTTTCAGACAATGTCAGTTTTCTCCTACTTAAAAGATACTATTGATTGCTCATTGCCCTAATCTTACAGATCTCTCATCCTCTTTGCATGACTGAATTTCCGGGAAGAGTTGTTTATATTCTACATCTTGGGAGGCTGCATCAGGTAGCGCTTAAAGCATAGACTTTTAAGTGACAGTACTTGGGTTCCAGTTCTACTTCCACTTCTTAACAACTATGTGACAGGTAACAAGTGACTGCACCTCTCTTTGCCTATCTTTCAGCACTGGCAAAATAGAAAAATAAGAATATGTAACTTTTAAGACTATTATGAACAGGAAATTATTTGTAAGGTGCTGAGAAGGGAAGTCAGAATAATTACTTATTTCCCATCTAGTCCTCAGCTTACTTCAAGCTGTCTTCCTGTACCATCATTCTCAAGTGCCTTCATGTACATAAATCCAATGGCCATTTTATTTATTTATTTATTTATTTATTCATTTTGAAATGGAGTCTCGCTCTGTTGCCCAGGCTGGAGTGCAGTGGTGAAATCTCGGCTCACTGCAACTTGCATCTACCGGGTTCAAGTAATTCTCCTGCCTCAGCCTCCCAAGTAGCTGGAATAAAAGGACCCTGTCACCATGTCCAGCTAATTTTTGTATTTTTAGTAGAGACAGGGTTTTGCCATGTTGGTAATGCTGGTCTTGAACTCCTGACCTCAGGTGATCCACCCACCTGAGACTCCCATTGTGCTGGGATTACAGGTGTGAGCCACCACACCCGGCCCCATGGCCATTTTTACCCTTAACTTAGTTGACCTCACAGAATCATTCAGTGCTAATGACAACACTTATTCTTTCTTGAACATTCTTTTCTCTTGGATTTAGCACACACCATTATGTTTGCTTCTAATTTTGTGGCCCTTATTTCTCTATCTCTTTTATTTGCTCTTATTTCTCTCTCAGGCCAATAAATGGTAGAGTTTTGTAGTGCATTGGCTTAGATCCTTTTTGTTCTATCTCTACACTCTTTTTTTTTTTTTTTTTTTTTTTTTTTTTTTGAGACAGAGTCTTGCTCTGTCATCCCCAGGCAGGGAGTGCAATAGCATGAACTCGGCTCCCTACAACCTCTGGCTCCTGGGCTCAAGCAATTCTCCTGACTAAGCCTCCAGAGTAGCTGGGACTACAGGCATGTGCCACCATGCCTGGCTAATTTTTTGTATTTTTAGTAGAGATGGGGTTTTACCATGTTAGCTAGGATGGTCTCGACCTCCTGACCTTGTGAACCGCCCACCTCAGCATCCCAAAGTGCTGGGATTACAAGCATGAGCCACTGAGTTGGGCCTTTCTACATTCTTGCATTAGATGAGGTTATTTACACCCACTGCTTCAATATCTACACAGCCACCATAATTCTCAAACATTTATCTCTGGTTTTATCTATTCTTAGATTTCAGAACATGTATATAATACCTTACTTGTTATTTCCTCCTGGTCCTCTCAAAAACACACCAATAGAACCAAACTTGAACATTTCCCCTTCCATCCAGTCTTGTACCAACATTGTCTTCTCTGCAAAAAGAATTTTTTCTCCTGTAATCCATCTAGGCTGTCCTTAGACTCCTATCAATCAGTGATCCTTGGCTCCACCCTCTTCTTTCACCACTTCTTCAAGCTGTCATCAAGTCCTACCAATGTTACCTATTTAGTTCTCAAATATCATCCTTTAATCTACCACTACCACTTAAGTACAACCTGCTATCGCTTTTCACCTGGACTATAATAATCTCTGAACTGTCCTCCCAATATGCCTCTATTTCAATTTAGTCTTCACATTGCAGTCTGAATAATCTTTTCAGAATGCAAATCTGATCACATCTCCCATTTGTGTAAAGCCTTGAATGTCACCCTAAGGTGACATTAATCTTAACTGTTTTCAGAATTAAGATTACAGCCTTAATGTGGTCTATAAGGCCTTTTATGATCTCATATTCATGTGGTCAAAGCCATACTGTTTCTTTATCAGCTAAGTTTAGTTCTTTGGATTTATCATCAAGAAGTCCTTTTATGTGTTCTTCTCTGGGCTTGGAATGTTCTTCTCCAACTAACTTCTTCCCACTCTTAAGATCTCGGCTCAAGGAAAATTTCTTTAGGAAGGTCTTTCCTGAACTTCTTATTACTTAAAGTTATGACACCAATACTGCTTCTGCATAGTATAGTCTATGGTTGCAATTTAATGCCTGGGTGATTAATTGTTCAGTGTCTTATTCCTACCAGATAATACCTGTATAATATCAGGACACTCAGTTTTTGCTCACAGTTTCATCTCTATCATTTAAACTTAAATAGAAGGATGGAAATAATTTAAACTTAAATGAAAGGATAGAATCATTGAGTGTGTGAAAGATTCCTTCTCATAAGACATAATTTCCAAATAGTAATATTAGATGACACAGTAAATATTGAAAGCACATCATTTCTACAACTACAAGTCTCTTTCTTATAAATAAAGTTTTCTAAAATATCAATCTATTCTCTCTCAGGATTATTAATGCCATATTTTTCCTAAAGGCTAAGGAAGAGTCTGAAGAAAAAGAGGAACAGGTGGCTGAATTTCAGAAGCACAAAGAGGTGCTACTGTCCTTATTTGATGAGAAACGTCATGAACATCTTCTTAGTAGAGGTAGGTATTTTTAATTTATGAATCTTTTCCCTGGAATGTGTGAATATGAGATCAAGTTTTAATTTTATAAGACTAGCAAGACTTAATTGGGGGAAATAGAATGAAAATTGTATACCTATGTAACAATCCTGCAATATCTGCACGTGTACCCCAGAACTTTTAATTAAAGTATAATTTAAAAAAAAGAAAGAAAATTGATATTCTACTAATAGGAAAAAAAAATGAGTAAATTTTTTGGTGATAAACCTGTTTTAACAGGTTTCTGTGCTCAGATTATTTCAAAAACATTAGAAAAAAAATGTATAGTCTATGCCAGATATAAGGGATCTCAAGATCAATTGCATGTAGTTTCTCAAGTAGTTCACAGCCTAATAGGAACAGAAATGAAGACAACTGTTGTAATAATAAACACTGTGGTAGAGGTAAGATAAGGAAGGAATAGCTACTGTGAGAGCAAGTGTTGATGTCGCCCTATTGTTTTAGGATTAAGATAAAGTCTTTAATGTGATCTGTAAGGCCTTTTACAATCTCATATTCATGTGGTCCAGTCATACTAATTTTCTTTTATTAGCTAAATTGAGTTGTTTGGATTTATCACCAAGGAGTCTTTTTATGTGTTCTTCTCTGGACTTGGAATGTTCTTACATTCCAGTTATATGGAATGTTCCTGCCCTCTTTCTCTCTTCCTCGCTCTTTTGTGTGTGGGTGAGTTCTTTCATCCAAATCTGCTTGGTTGACCAGGAGACCAGGTAAAGCATACATTTAGACTTTTGGCACAATTGGTACTGAGCCGTTACTTACTGAAACGTATTGAGCAGTAAAATCAGTACTTTCATTTCTAAACTTTTGTGTTCATTTTGACTTAGAACTTTTATTGTAAAGCATCTCAAACCTTTTTGGAAATGGGCAGAATAAAAGTAAAAGTTCACTTTTATAACACAAATACAAAACATAGCAACATATGAAATTGTGTTAAATTTTGTAAGCTTAAACGTTGTTAGCTTCAGTTTTCTTTAGAAAACAAACAAACAAACAAACAAAAAACCCTCAGTAAAGAATAGCAAAATCTTGTTTTCCTGTGGCAAGGAGGCAGCCTTTCATTAGAGCACACATATATGATATAACTATGCTCATTAAAACCAAGCAAACTAATTTCAAATGAGTTAGTGAAAGCTACTTTCAAATGATGCTTATCAGGCATCACTGTTTTTTGAAATGAAAGACACATACTATTTTACTTAGAAAATGCATTTTATTATGAAAGTTAAATAAATATTTTTTAGAAAAATCAGGTTTTCTTAAGATGCTAATTGAAGGTTTTGAGAATTTAAAATATGTACATTTTTGGTTTGTTTTTAAAAATCCAATGTTAAAATTGCATTTCAAGTGATAGGTTTACAAATTCAAGTGGAAGGATAAAAAATGTAAACTAAAACTTATATTGTTTTCTAAATACATGTAATCCATTAAACTTTTTTAAGATGACTATGCCAAATTAGTATAAATTTGCCTTAAGGGACTTAACAAATTATTATTTGCTATGTATTGTGCAGGTGAAAGACGGCTGTCATACAGAGCACTTCAGGGAGCATTGATGATATATTTTTACAGGTAAAGCAAATCGGAAGAGATACTGAAGTTAAAATTGAGGAGTGGATATGAATTACATATCCGGTATAAAGCCTAAAACTTACAATCATAGTTTAATGCAGTAATTTAGTTTTTAAAGAAAACTTGGAAAATAGTAATGAAGTTTTATGAGCCCTTTTTTTTCCTTTTAAATAGTAAAGGCATAACTTTTTCCCTAAACAGGGTTAAATGGGGTTAAACACCTCACAAATTAATCAAATAACCCTTTTAACTGAATTCTGCAAAGTATTATGTAACCCTAAGTGACTTAAATGGTTAAAGTTTGCTGTCTCTCAGAGATTCACTCATGAAATGTGTTCTATCATTAAACAATGTTGTAAGGTTATTCCTATTTAATAAAATAAAAAAATCATGAAGTGAAAATAACTTGTAAACTGTACTACGTACAGTTTCAATTAAATTGTTTTCACTGTCTAAAATGTTTCAAGTATTCCTTAAATATTGACTCAATCCTACTCTATTGTATAAAGGTCCCATCCTCAGGGTTCATGAATTAAACGTGTCAGAACAATAAATATCACACCAGTAAAAAATACTTACATTTACAGGCTGTCTTACTGCTGTGTATTTATTTAATTTTAAAAAATCTTAAGTCTTTCTTCAAAATGGCAACATAAATAAAACCTTTTGATTCTTTTCCTAAATTAGAGTAAATGCCAGTCAGGCTTATGTGTCCTAATTAGAAAATATACTGAAAAAGTTGAAGAAATAGATGTAAAAAGAAAAACAAAGAGATGAAAAGAAATAAAAAGTGGTTTTTCCTTCTGTGTTTTAATATCTTTTCCTAGAGGGTTTGACTACTGTTGGCTGGAAAAGCTGTGATAGAGCACCTGTCTCTCTTTTAATAAGAAGTGTTAGGTGTGACTCTGGGGGATTACTTCATGTATATTACAAGGAATTTTCTAGACTTCGAATAAACACTGCAAGTTGAATGATATTATTTCATCTTTGAGATGAAGAAACTGAGACTGAGAGAATAAGTCAAAGCTACCACAGCTCCTCAGTAGCAAAGTTGACATTTGTTTCCAGGGCCAACTGATTGCAAAACTCACGCTCCTCCTAACACATTGGATTTACTTGACTATTTTCTTTCTTTCTTCCTTTAGGGAAGAGCCTAGATTCCAGGTGCCTTTTCAGTTGCTGACTTATCTTATGGACATAGATTCACTCATGACCAAATGGAGATGTAAGTCCTTCCTGCTCATCCCTGCTGCTGCCGCACATGCTGCCCTATGCTCTTTATCTTGGTCTTTTGCGTGTCCTCTTGCCTGCCTTCTCTCTTCCTCCCTCCTTTGTGTGTGGCTGTGTTCTTTCTTACAGATCAGCTTGGCCATCACTCTCTCCCAGGGGCAACTTATCCATAGGCACACTAGGCACAGTACCTAAGGCCCACAGAACGTTTGCGGACTCATGAAAATGTTTTATTTTAAAATCTGAAGGGGGAAAAAAAAACTTTAGATCAAAACAAATGTTTTATATGAGTAATACATTTGACATTATGCCAATGCAGATTAAAATTTTTAATTTCAATAGTATTTTTTTTTTTTTTTTTTTTTTTTTTTTTTTTTTTTAATGAAGGACCCCATAAAGGTAAAGGTAGCACAAGGTCATGAATCATATGAGGGTCCTGGTCTCTAATACTGGGTGCATGGGCTAAATGCAATGAAGGGTGGAGTGAAATGCGTGTAGCCTGAGGCAGGTGGAGCGCTAGGCAACCTCACAGTCTCATCTGGCTCTCACATGTGAGCCTTCCATATGGCCAAGTATTAGCTGTCAGCATTTTCTCAGAAGCAATGATCATTACCAACCCCTTGTTGTCAGAACATTGTGAAACTAATGGAGGAAAAATATCCATGGAGTGAATTTGTGTGTTTGCCCAGACAGCCATGTGTGCATGGTGCACAGAATGCTGGGCAGCAAAGCTGGCACCGGAGGCTCCTCAGGATATCACTACCTGCGCTCAACTGTGAGGTAGGTGGGGAAATCCTCCCTTCTCCCTGGTGACAGTCACCAACAGTTTGTTTCTTCATCTATACATTTATTATCGAAAAAAAGCCAATTTATTTGCTCCTGTCTGAAACTAACAAGTTTCTAGTTAGATTATAGTCCAATTCAGTCTTTCGGAGGTAATTTTATAAAATTCTTAATTCTGAACCTTCACCGTTTTGATCCTGTGTGTAAAGGGGTATGGTGCCAATGACTGCATGATAGGTGAGGGCGCAAACGGTTGAACAGGGCTTACATTCAGGCAGAAAGTCTTCAACTCATTCTGGCTCAAGTTTTGACTACAGTAAAACATTTAGTACTAATTCTGCTAATGTCTTCTTGGTTAGATAAACGACGTAGTTAAAATAGCTTGTTTTCTGACATGACTGTATTTTGAATTATAAAACCATTTCTATCTACTCCAAAGAGTGCCCTCTTTAGAGTGTTTAGAAGGAAAGAGATAACATTTATTGAGGAGTTAAAATATGCTAGCAGAGCTTTCTAAGGCATGTACATTCTTATTTTGATACTCACAATATCATAGATCATGGACAAGGGGATATATCTGGAAACCAGGAAACCTCTGTGGTCCCTTGAAAAAGAAGAATCAATTCAAGAATAAATTAGACATTTAGTTTTAGTCCCTCCCCCAAATCTTTACAGTACATTGCTTTCATCCCTACAGTTATTACCAGATTGCCTGATTTCTAAAATATACAGGTTCAAATTTTCATTATTTTTATACATTTTCACTTCCCTGGAAATAAATTCTGTAAGCACAAAACAGTCAATAGCTGCCTGTACCACATGAGCACAAACATCAGTGGGCCGTGGGAAGAATAAACACAGACAGCATTTCCAGTGTGTTGTCTCATTTTTAAAAAGATTGACTGAAAGGAAGGACTGAAGTTTTCATTTTCCAGAGTTACAAACTGGGGCATTGAAGTTTAAACAACTTGTCAAAGGTCCTTGAATTGTAGGTGACAGATCCAGAATTTGAACCCAGATTTATTTGACTTCAAAGGCAAATGTTCTTCTTCCATCAAACTACAACAGTTAAGATTGGTGACTAACAACACAAAAGCAATTTTAATGTTAAAACCACTCTATAGACATTTATTACTAGTCTAAGATGGCATTGCAAGGTATTAATCCCTTCAGAGCAGTTATTTGGCAGCACTTTTTAGTTGGAAATATTTCCAAATGAGTATCTAAGAACTCTGTATGTTTTAAATTTATTACCTTGTACACCATCCTTTAGAAGTAGGAAATGAGAACACACCCTTGTCTTTATGAAGGTATCAGCAATACGACTCTCAGATTTCATATGAACCACACTGGCCTAAAACACATGGTACTGTTTTATGGGCATAAACTTTGCAAATGGAATAAAACTAGTACTATACCTAATATAATGTAAGATATATACAACATGTAATGTATATTATATTGAATACTAATTATGGAAAATAGCTGAGATATAAATTTTCTAATTGAAAATTTTAAATATTTCATGTCAACCAATGTAACACATCTCCATGTATGTGTTTTTCCAGTGATAGGTACAAGGTATTTGTAGATTTATTTAATCTCTCAACGTACCTGGTTCCCCGACACTGGTTGCCGAAGATGAACCCAATAATTCACAAATTTCTATATACAGCTGAATACTGTGATAGCTCCTACTTCAGCAGTGATGAATCCGATTGAAATCATCCTCGAAATCGATGAAGAATACCGGTTTCTCAGTCTATTTTTTATTTTCTGTGAACTTACATAAATATGTAGTTTTAATAAATGTATATAAATATTGTTCAGCACCACAGTGCTCTCATTTAATTCTAGGAATAATTTAATTACCTCTTGTTTGTGATGAGATTAAGCGTTAAGAAGAGAAATAATTCATTTAAACAGTAACATTGTACAGAGTGTTTTCTTATTAAAAATTCAATTTCCCCTGAGACCTCATGTAACTCCTTAATGTAATCATTATCTCATTGTTTCATACTTTATAAACTTATAAATTTCAGCTATTTCAAATATTTTATGCAGTAAACTGTCATTCTGTACAAAGATTTTAAAACAAAATTAAAAAAAAAATAAAGCATTCGTCTTTCTCCCTGTATTATTTTTGAAACATTAATCATATTTGTTTGGAATCTTAATGACCAAAGACAGAAATCTATCTGAAGTTTAGCTAGAGGAGATATAGTGGAGAATTACTAGCTCGGAGAATTCAAATGAACGCTGGCCAAAAAACCTTAAAAGAGGATCCTGGAAGCTCTGACGCCACAAGGACTGGGTTCAGTTCCTGGAGTGCTGTATTCCTGGAACACTCGGAGGATCCTTTCTGTCTCATCTCCTCTTCCCTGTAGTAGAACGGCTCCTGTCTCAGGCTGGGTCCCAGTTCCCAGCACCATTGAACTCACACAGGGAGAAGCTTCTCTTTGTCTCAGCTCCTATGCCTGTGTTCTGGGAGGTGGTGTGAACTCCAATGCATGTAGAACTGAGGTTGGCACAAGTAGCAGTTCCCTCAAAGAAGATGTGTTTTCCAGAAGAAACGACACAGACTAAACAGTGACCCACTTCATTTCTAATAAAACATATTAATTAGACTAAGAGTCTAGATTAGACATGAGTTTTAGTCTTCTTTTTCTAGCTTGGCCGGGTTATTGGCAAACTTAAATTTTTGTTACGGGAGGAAGTACATAATATTGTTTAAAAAAGCTAAACTGTATGTCAACCTTGACCTAGAGTGATTATCACTGGCAAGCAGCAATTTTTTTTTTCTTTTTTAATAAGGATCATATGATCTAGTTTGTCTCAAAATTACATAGCATTGCCTTTACCTTCATGACTGTTGTGTGTTCATGTATGTGTATATTCACAGTATCTGATGGTGGCTAAGCTGACATTGTACAGAGGCAAATTGCATGGTGGCTAAAAGGTACTAGCTTTGGAATCAACAAGTTCGAGGCAAATTCTGGCCCTGCAAACTTATTAACTGTTTGGTACGATTATCAGTTGAAGGTTAGTTTCCTATCTTTCTGGGGATAAAAGTACTTATTTTATAAACTTTGCTATTTCTCAGGAAAAAAATATGTTAATAGGTGTTTTATCACCAAAGTGCCTTAGAATATTGGTGTAAATGGCATTTTTCAATGTTTATCATTCTTTTAACAGACTATATTAGTCAGGATTCTCCAAAGGGACAGAACTAATAGGATAAATGTATACATGAAGGGGAGTTTATTAAGGAATATTGACTCACACAATCACAAGGTGAAGTCCCATGACAAGTCTGTAAGCTGAGGAGCCATGGAGCCAGTCTGAGTCCCAAAACCTCAGAAGTAGGGAAGCCAATAGTGTATTCCTCAGTCTGTGGCTGAATGCCCCAGAGCCCCTGGTGAATCACTGGTATAATTCCAAGTGTCCAAAAGCTGAAGAACTTGGAGCCTGATGTTGCAGGGCAGGAAGAATCCAGCATGGAAGAAAGATGGAGGGACACAGGACTCAGCAGGTCTGTTGTTTCAATGCTTGCTTTCATGCTGGCAGGTGATTAGACTGTGCCCACCCAGGCCAAGGGTGGTCTGCCTCTCCCAGTCCACTGACTCAAATGCTAATCTCCTTTGGCAACACCCTCGCAAACACATCCAGGAACAATACTTTGCATCCTTCAATCCAATCAAGTTAACACTCAATATTGACCATCACAAGTCCATTCTTTGTCAACTTGAACCCATACACATCGCCTGAAATCATACATAATCTTCAAATAAAGACAATAAGGTCATAATTATACCTAACACAATACAGCTATCTTTGTACAAATGACAGTGCACCAATCCCCAACCCAAATGCTATTACATAAAGTTAACAATGCTTAAATGATGATGGGAAGTCAATAAATCTTACATCACATCAGAAAGGAAAACAAAAGGAAATAAATTGAATATATTTTCTTAGTACAAGTTTTTATATGCACAAACATGTTCTCAACAAAATGAGGAAATGCTTGTGACAATTACAGTCCTTGTTTCTGCAACTGGTCACATAGCTGAAGCTGGTATCAATGACTACTTTATTCTGCTACCCATTCCTTATTCTCTTTGCCTTCAGCAAGCACCTCAGGAGGTAGCAATATTCTTACTTGGTGAAGTGACCTAAACCTTTATTCCTGAAGGGTCTGGGCCATTTATAGTCCTGCCAGGATAGGGGTGTTAGGGGTGTTATAGTTTCCCATTGACATTTATCACAGGCATGGCAATACTAAGAGACCCCCTAAAGATCTTCTGTGTTCCACACATACTCTTCCTGACCTCTATTGTGGAGTAGTAAGCTGATTTCATCTTGACAGTCTGGGTCAGTCACCCCAGCCAACACCATAACTCCCTTCTTGGCCTGTTATATTAGTCTGTTTTTATGCTGCTAATAAAGACATACCCCAGACTGGATAATTCATAAAGGAAAGAGGCTTAATGGACTCACAGTTCTACATGGTTGGGGAGGCTTCACAATCATGGAGGAAGGCAGAGGAGAAGCAAAAGCACATCTTACATGGCAGCAGGCAAGAGAGCTTGTGCAGGGGAACACCATTTTTAAATTGTCAGCTCTCATGAGACTTACTCACTACCATGAGAACAGTATGGGGGAAACTACCCTCATGATTCAAATCTCCACCTGGCCCTGCCCTTGACATGTGGGGATTATTACAATTCAAGGTGAGATGTGAAGCGGAGACACAGTTAAACCATCTCATAGACTATATGGTTATATTTAGTTCTTTACACCTGTATTTCTTGGTGTGACTACGCTAGGAGTTCCAAGAGTTTTATCAAAGGATGTATCAGTCATTCTTAATGTAAATATCAAAATAATTTAGACTGCAAGTTCCCACCCTTGTCCAGCCACACTTGCCCAGCCACACTTGCCTCTAATGCTGATGAGCCACTTTATAATTTTTAAATGGGTTAGAAAATCACTGTAAGGTTGGCTAACTTCGTATGAACTTTGAAGGTCTTTGTGAAAACACATCCAGAAACATATTGATGACTTTTATTACGACTTCTAATTATTATGTGAGGATTTCATTGCTTGGACTTCAAGTAGTTTGTTATGGCTGGGCGACAGCATAACAGCAATCAACCTATGCAACACAGGTAGCGATCATGGTTAAAAAGGTAGAGAGGGGCTTCTTCATGATAGCTCACTTAAAATAGCTTGCATGGTATCATACAGGCATTGGGAGCCCTTGAACAATTTTAAACAGAGCAACTGATGAGGTCTTTGAGAAACGTAAATGCAGGGGAAATACAGTAGATGGACTGACTATAAGAACATCGATCTGAGTCACCAGACTTGCGGTCTGGATTTAGGGACGCAGAGTGTAATGAGTAGGCCACTGAGTAATGGAGATAAATGACACTAAAGAACGTGCAACTGAGAAACAACAGTAGCCACAGGAAGTAGGTGATTCGGTGATGGGTTACCGAGATAAGGATGACCTGCTTAAATATTTAGGATTTGTCGTAATTTTACTGATTGGGTGATTCCATAATGTTGATTCTGTTAACCAAAACAGAGAATCTAAGAGGTAAAGGAGCTTTTTGTTGGGGGCAGTGGGAGAAGTTAGGGAGGATGATGAATGGAATTTTGGAAACACTGAGGTTCAAGTGTCTAGGGAGAAAACCAAAATCTGGCTCTATTTAAGCTGAGAAAACAGTATAAATATAAAGCACTTTAATACTATGTTGATGAAACGTAAGCCATACACTGAAGAAGAGGTTCTTTTTAAACCAAAGTCAAATGTAGGTTGTTTTGTTGTAAATGTCATCAAAATCCAGAACAGCAGAAACATATTAATCATTCTGAAATTTTAAAAATCCTTTAGCACCTGAAAAAGAGTATTAGAAATGCATTTATAACACATAGAAAGTCAGTAGCGAACACAAACTAGAACAAACAGGACACTAGTTCTTTTCTGGCATGCCTGGATAATAAGAATATTTATTAATTATAATGTCAATATCTGTCTTCCTGGAATAACTTTAACCTGTGTCAACACACATTCTTTTGGGATTGGTTCTGATTGGTGTAATAACAGAAATACAGCATTTTGTTTTTATTTTGTTTAATTATGGAGAAGGATAAACAAAGGGCAAAAGTGAGAGAAAAAATAAGATGTCCTTGATTTTTTTTTGTGGCTGCTGCTGCATTTAATATTTCATTTCTGTTAGATCATATACATTAGAAAAGTATGATCAATTTTAGAAAAGAAGTGTGTACATATGTAGTATTAGAAATAATTTTCTTGCATTGACTCATTTAATATGGTTGTACTTATATTCAATCAGAGGGTCAACTCTTTTGCTCTAAGGTTTGTACACTGCTAACATGACATGGCTTGTTTCTCGGGAGTTGCACGTCATGAGCAGCACACAATGTTCCTTCTACGCACACAGGATGACTGATCACTGCGCAGACGCAGGCTACTCAGAATTGCACCTGAAATCACTTATGCAATTAGTGATGCAAGAGTGATCACAGGGATCAAGACTGGGAGCCAAGGGAAAGAAAAAGAGGTGCAAAAAGAAGCAGTTTGGATGGGAGATCGGGAAAACTGAAGGGGAAAGCTGGAAAACCTGAGAGTCTGCAAAACTCATATTCCGGCAGATACCCAGGGTTAAGAGATGGGACTTTGATAGGAGTGGTGCTTGTGAATTAGGGGGTAAGAAAGAGGTGAGATCCTAATGTTGGTAAAGGTATAGAGACAAAGAGAGCCAAGTAAGTGGTTAGAAAATAGAAATGGAGGCCAGGCACAGTGGCTCACACCTGTAATCCCAGCACTTTGGGAGGCTGAGGCAGGCAGATCGTAAGGTCAGGAGTTTGAGACCAGCCTGGCCAATATGGCAAAATTCGGTCTCAATTAAAAATACTAAAATTAGCTGGGTGTGGGTGCACACCTGTAGTCCCATCTACTTGGGAGGCTGAAACCAAGAGACAGAGGTTGCAGTGAGCCAATTTCACATCATGGCACTCCCACCTGGGTGAGAGAATGAGACTCCATCTAAAAAAAAAGAAAGAAAATAGAAATGGAAAGTAAAAATGAGACTTATTTCTTTAGTCAGGGAAGAGGGAAGCCAAACTGCCAGGAAAACTTGGTATAGATTAAGAGAACGAAAGGAAGAAAATGTGAGATAATATTTTGTTCTCTAGTATAAAAAGAACAAAGAAATTCAATCTATTTAGACTCCTATTCACAATAAAAATTTTCAAATAATAATTTGTCTCTCAGGCAATGCTAGTAGAAGTAACTTATGTAGTTGCCTTCGGTTCATTTAATTTTAGTTTAACTGAAGAGATTTTGCCTTTTTCCTTCCCTCTACATGGTCTCTTTGCTGTTCAAAGGGTAAGCACCATTTACTGAGGTAAAGCAATTGGTGTTTCAAATCCTTCAAATACACCATCTCAGAGGGCTGCTAATATAACTAACTGTACAAGGCACACATAATTTTAGGTTGGCCCTTCTTGTGTGTAGGGGTAATCTAAAGCTAGTGATCACATGCCACAAAAGAAAAGAAATTCTTATGACCTCTTTGGTCCCACCTGAAATATCTCATAACAAACAAACAAATAAATAATAAGCAAACAAAAACAAACAACAGCCTCCCCCAGCTGCAGGGGCCTAAAATATCTCCTAATCTGAATTTCTTCTCAGGGCAAGAAACTGTTCCATAGACTTCCTTGTAGGCTTCTATGCCGGAGTCTGCCCAGCTGCCTTTGGGTGTCCATCTCTCTACAAGAATGGAACATTCTGCAACTTAGTTTAGATCCTACTAGGCCTTAGAATCTTTTGTAGGTGCTAAAACTTGAAGTTGAGTAACGCTTGGAAGTGCTATGTTACACTGCATCATGAAAACCTTCATATCTGTAGTTGTCTCTTGATCTGCCCAACATGTCACACAAATATAGAAGAAACTGAATCTGCAATACCTGAGGGGAAAAAAAGGGGAATTATTAGTCTATTTCTTCATTAGATGCTTTTAAAATTGTAAATTAAAGCATTTTTTTTCATTTGGGTTCAGAAAGAGTATCTACTAAGAAAATAATGTAATACTTATGTCCTGTCAATATAAACATGGCGTCATCAAAAGCAGACATTAGAAGAGTACTAGGCATATTAGAAGTATGCCTAATATTTTTGTTTGAGGACACTAAAATAATTTTAAAGATTTAAAAAATCCACAACAAAAACTCCTTGTTAACTGAATAAATGAATGCATTTGGAATCTGTATTGTACTAATACAGTATTTCTCAGAGGCAAAATAACTTTAGGAATTATTACTATTATTATTTTGAGACAGAGTCTTGCTGTTGCCCAGGCTAGAGTGCAGTGGCACAGTCTCAGCTCACTGCAACCTCTACCTCCCGGGTTAAAGCGATTCTCCTCCTTCAGCCTCCTGAGTAGCTGGGATTACAGGCACGCACCACCATGCTTGGCTAATTTTTTGTATTTTTAGTAAAGATGGGGTTTCGTCATGATGGTCAGGCTGGTCTTGAACTCCTTACTTTTTGATCCACCCGCCTCAGCCCCCCAGAGTGCTGGTATTACAGATGTGAGCCACCGCACTTGGCCAGGAATTATTTTAAATACAAATTTCATAACTCAAATTCTAAAATTTGAATGTGGACAAAACTTTAATAAATCACAAGTGGGCTATGCTTTCTTAACACACAAGAACACAGATTGCAACATCATGGCAAAAGCAATAAACAGCCTATCTGAAGACTGGCTTTCATTGTAACTAACCATATCTTTGAAATTCCTTGTGGCTATGAAATACTATCAGCCTTATACCACTGTTCATAAGAGTAATATGACATCATTGTAACTTTCAGGCAATACTCAGTTGCAGGAAGAATTTCAATCCCTGTATGATTAATAACCAGGCATGCCTTTTAAGACTGACATCATGAATGCAGGTAGAGAGCAGAAATTATCTCCACTCACCCTTAGTAGCTGAGGGATGGAGGAAGGTTGTGAGAGGGATTCAGTTATAATTGAGGCAATTATGAACCAATATTTAAATTACGTTATTTTAACTCTCCTGTCAGACGTTTGAAAACAGTCACCCCTCAGCCCAAATCCAGGATCCACCACTGCTGCAGTCTGAGATAATATATGTCCAGCAGCAAGGGTTCAATGATTAGCATCAGTAATTTATCTGCAAGTTCCAAAGATCACAAGCCCTACTGATGCTGAAAAGTGGAGGCCGGATGAGGTTGCTAGCTCTCTGGCTAAAACGTTTCTGTGATGTTGACTTTTTTCAATGAATAACTTATTAAAACTGTCTCGTCCAGGTGATAGAATAGATCATTCAATAACTTTCATGGATTCTGCCTTTGGGATGATTGGATAATAGTCATTCAACATTAACTTTCAAATTTTTCTATAACTACATACATAGTCTCATTATATCCAGAAGATTCTGCATGTTTAAAAAGTTATATATATGTTAGAACGTATTGAAATGAGAAATGACATGATTGCTCTAATACGTAATTTAGTTTGGGTCTAGCTTGATTCAGAATATGTGTTGCTTTCTAGACCAAAAGTTTTAGAATATAGGTTTGAATATAGGTTTTATAATATGGTTAAAATTCTTAACTAGCTATTTTAGTTTGGTTGGTGGTTAATTTAAAAAGTTGTCATTCAATAAAAAAAAAAGCATGTTTGGAATTTGTCTAAGCCTCTCAATTCTAGTGGGTGTTTTGCCAGAATTTTGTAGGTGGCAAGGGGCGTATGAAGTCACAGACAATACTAATGCTCCGTTTTTGTATATTTTAAAACAAAGAAAAACTCTCAGTAATCATTGAACAGACATTATAATATACAAATTAAGAAAAATGTATAGTTATGAAATGTAAATTTTGAACAAGAAGACATTACTGCAGTTCAGTCTCCTAAGTTGTGTGTTTATTTATTTTTTAAAGTAAGCTTGGTAAATTATTACCTTATGTTTTGAGATATATATGTAACATACATTTTTTACCGAGGTCCCTCTTCCTTTTTCAAATACGAATATGTGCAACAGTTCTGTTTGTAAAACACTATTTTTAATCATTTGGTTAAAGAACAAAATTATTACCGCTGAAGTGGTTTGAGTATCTGTAACTTTAATGTATTCAAATAAACTCCTTAATATTTATCTTGAGATATTAAACACAAATTCATGACTTACCACAAACATTACTTCCCATTTTGACATGGGCATAACCATCTACTCCCCATGAACTTCCCCAGGAATTCCGCACAATCCAATACGGAGTACTTCCTACAAGGAAACATAAATGGTGATAAACCCTGAAAACTCAAATTTGTTATGAAAGTTTAAGTTTCTTTAAGTTGAATTCTTGACAAGGATAGTAGCTCTAAGAAAAAGATTAGAAAAGTAATGTAATGATAACTTAAACTACTTTATTACTTATTTATTTTGAGACGAAGTCTCACTCTGTCACTCAGGCGAGAGCATGATCTCAGCTCACTGCAACCTCTACCTCCTGGTTCAAGCGATTCTCCTGTCTCAACCTCCTGAGTAGCTGGGGTTACAGGTGCCCACCACTACACCTGGCTAGTTTTTTGTATTTTTAGTAGAGACGGGGTTTCATCATGTTCGCCAGGCTAGTCCTGAACTCCTGACCTCAAGTGATGCGCTGGTCTTGGCCTTCCAGTGCTGGGATTACGTGCCCAGCCTAACCTACTTTATTTTAACTAAATAAACCGAAGCAGTACTTAGGGACACACGCCAATCAGTAGAAATAGATGTTTGAATTCATTTCCCGTAATGCAGGAACTGCATAAAATGAAAAGAAACATTCATTTCCAAGGAATCAGAAAAAGAAACAAAGAATTGTTAGGTACCTATGATAAAATAATATGCACTTACCTTTTTCCAACAATTATCCTAAATATTCCACATACAGTTTTATAATGACAAAATTATCAACATTTTAACAAGATATCCACCCAAGAACTGATAGGTAAAATCTGACAAGACATTTATACCTATAAGATTGTTGAGAAGTTGTGAAGGTCTTATAAGGACTTAGCCATAGCAGAACCAATTTTCAACATTCTACAGGAAGGTGATCATTTTGCAATAAGCATCCAAGCTGGAAAGCAATCAACTGAGTGTTATCAGCATTTACCTGTTTTATCAAATCCAGTTACGAGAACTGCATGATTTGCTTCTCCACTAGAGCAGTGATGCTGTATAATGCCCCCCAGGTAATCTTGCCAGCTCACTGCATCTACTATGACTACCAAAGGGCCAAAGGTAAGAAGGGCTTTTGCCATTTCATCTTCTTGGTTACTACGAAAAAAAAAAAAAAGGAAATATTTGGTTAGAAAATTTAGTTTTTAAGGTAAAAATACAAATGATCTATATAATCTGTGTAGGACTGTGAGTAGGTTTGATTGCAGTTACAAAGGACCTAAGCAATGGAAGCTAAGTCTGAGAGACTGGCAGTCTAGGACTGCGATAGGGTTTCAGGATGTCAGGAACTCAAGCTCTTTCTCTATTATTGTGCTGCTATACGAAGGTTTCCATTTTCAAGGTCCATTCCTGGTCCAAGATGGCTGCTGGGACTCCAGGCATTTAACACATATTTAAGACAGCAGGAAACAGACAGGAGAAGTGCTACATCTCTGTTGAGAAGACTCCCGGAAATCACACACAACATTTCCACATATATCTTCATGGATCTCACTGGCCAGAACTCAGTCATACGGCTAAGTCTAGCTTAAAGGAAGACGGATAATGAGTTCTTTAGCTGGCTGGAAAGTAGTTAAGATATAGGGCTTCTTTTAATAAGGAAAGTGGAAAGATTGGATATTTGGAGACATCTTGTCATCTCTGCCACACCGTGAGAATCAAGAGACTAACTTACGTTAGTGACTGTCAAATATAGAAATCACAGGGAAGGGCTATTCAAAAGTGGCTAATATAATTCTACAATAGAAAACATGTTAAGCAAAATATTTTAAAAAGAGAAGAAATGTTAAGATGCCAGAACTAGGTGTTAGCTGTAAAGGTTGTGAAATACACAGTTACTGCTTTCACACATGGACAGAAAGTCTCATATTACACAACATTTGTCCTTCATCGATCTTACAAGTGAGTGATCAAATCATTATTTACATTTTTCAAAGGTCAGCTTCGTGGGTGAAGGATACTGAAACCAAGTTCCTAGTAGTTCAAGCCATTAAGATAACATTTGGTAGTTTACTGCTATAGTAAGCCAGCGGTGAATTAGTGGCTTGAAAGAGTAAATAATCTTTCATGATGACCAGCTGGAGACCAGTTTCTAGAGAGAGAATATTTTGTCCATGGAGGAGGAAAAAGTTGAATGTGTAATAATGTAATTTATTGAAATTGAAACTACATACTGATTTTATACATTTATTCACGTTACATATTAACATGAATCTCTGCTCTTTGAGATTTATAAGTAGATATTTCTAATTTTTGCTACTGTAAAACTGTTCATATTAACTAAGATTAGATAGGTCAAATTATAAAATTTTTAAAAGGCATCATGATAGGTTACAGATTTTTAATTATCCCACACCTGGGTTCAAATTTCAACTGTGTACTACAGCCATTCAACCTACCATGCAGAATCATATGGATATAATTTTATCATACTAGGATAAAATTATGGGATATAATTTTGCAAAACATAAATTATGTGGCACACCCAGCCCATAAATAAGTTATACTCCAAGTTTACAATAGGTCATTTATTTCCCTAATTTCTAACTCAACTAATAACTAATTTTGTTCCCCATAGGAGTTAGTGTATAAAGTACATCTTATTGTACCAAAATTCTTTGACTCTTTCATGATTTAAGTATGATATATATGATAATCTCTGTAGCAATCAGAACACAGCTGTCTCTATCAATTTAAGATAACAAAAGGATTACTGGAAGTTCATCCCATCAAAGATCCAGTTACAGCCAAACCAGGAGAAAAGCAGAAAGATCAAGAAGAAGAAAAAATTTTTTTAATTGCATTTTAGGTTTTGGGGTACATGTGAAGAACATGCAAGATTGTTGCATAGGTACACACAAGGCAGTGTGATGTGCTGCCTTCCTCCCCATCACCTATATCTGGCATTTCTCCCCATGCTATCTCTCCCCAACTCCCCACCCCGCCGCTGTCCCTCCCCTATTTTTAGAATGCAAAGGGTAACTGACACTGTAGAATCAAACAAAAACAAAAACAAAAACAAAAACAACAATTTAGTAATAATCCCTGATTTGAGCCAGAGCTGAAGAAAAGATATCAAAATTAGAAGTAAGAAACAGAGTGACAAGCCTCATTCATAAGCAGAATTGAGTGGCATTGCTATCATTTGTCTTTCAGAAAGATGTCAGCTTTTAGGGAGTTCAAACATACTCCAGATGGCATTTTAATTTCAATTATTAGCCCAAATACAGAACTATTAGCAACATGTATATTGTTAATGGTTATATTATCAAACTGATTTCATGAACTTACTATTCATTTCATAGATTAATAATTTTTGAAACCTACAGTCTTTCAAGAATTTTCCTAAATTTTATTGTCATCAAGAGGCAGTGATTAAGGCAAGTCTGATCTGTTACTGACACTTGAAGATGGACATTTAAATCCATCTTATCTTCCCTAGAATTCAATGTGTTAAATACTGTGTCTGAATTTTTCTGACTGTTGTTATATGTAATAGGTTCCTACTCTTTTTGTTTACTTACATAGTCATTCTCATACTCCAGTTTGAGTTCTGAAATTTCCGGGGCCTGATAAACAAAAACTCATGAAGAACCCTGGGTGGGAATGGTCATTTTGCTTTAAAATTAGGTTATGTTTTTATGATTCAGAGAATTTTTCCTTTCTTAGGTATTTTCAGGTTCTGTACAATGTATTAAGGAGTACTTGGCTGGAAACCTAAGACCTCTTGATCTTACCAATAGTGTTAGGAGTTCAACAGATATGAGTTCTGATCTGACTTCACCATTTACTAGCTGTATGGCTCTCCCTGAGTCTCAGGCATCTACCTTACATGGAAATAATATTATTGAAGTACTAAGGTCCAGGTCTTGTGATCAGTTATAGCAAATGATTTGGAAGACCCTCCCACATCCTCTGTCACCACTGCAATGCACACTCAACCCAACCTGCAACAATGAGATCCTGTAGCTCTTTCCCTGAGGACTTTCCCGCATAGAACCAGGAAAGCAAGCCCTGTCCCCATCTCTATCCCCAGCTGCACCCTCAACTAATGAATCAGTGAAGACAACAATCATCAGCTTGGGTGGGATGGCACTGAAGTGCACATTTGTCCCTGGCCACCAGAGTTCCCTAGTAGGACTAAGCACAAGGTTAGCCACAGCAATAATTGGCTTAATCAAGAAACCCTGCTGCCCCAGTTCTCTCATTTCCCCACCCCACTACCAGTCTTTCCTGGGATCACTTCCTATATGTTCCAACTGAACTCTTGCTATTTCCTTCTAAATCTGTTCCTGACTTAGACTTTCGTGTTTAATTAATTGTGATTCTATTTTTCAGTTATTCGGATCAAAAGGCCTGGAATCCTCCTAGACTCCCTTCTCTCTTATCTCCTCTCCATTAAAAAACTGTAGAGTTCTTCACTCAGTGAGCAGTATTAATCTGTATTTATCCCTCATCACTCATCTCCAAGGCTATTCTTCTAATACCCTGCTCTGAGGCTATGGCCTGGGGACTGATATGGTTTGGCTGTGTCCCCATCCAAGTCTCAAATGTAATCTCCCAGAATTCCCATGTGTTATGGGAGGAAACTGCGGGGGCAGGGGTGTGGTAATTGAATTATGGGGGCCAGTCTCTGCCATACTAGTCTCATTATAGTAAGTCTCATGAGATCTATAGTTTTATCAGGACTTTCCCCTTTTGCTTCTTCCTCAGTTTCTCTTGCCACTGCCATAAAAGAAATGCCTTTTGCCTCCCAGCATGATTCTGAGGCCTTCCCAGCCATGTGGAACTGCAAGTCCAATAAAACCTCCTTTTCTTCCCAGTCTTGGGTATGTCTTTAACAGCAGCATGAAAACTGACTAATACAGTAAATTGGTACTAGTAGAGTGGGGTGAGAAGATATCTGAAAATGTGGAAGTGACTTTGGAACTGGGTAACGGGCAGAGGCTGGAACAGTTTCCAGGGCTCAGAAGAAGACAAGAAAATGTGGGAAAGTTTGAAACCTCCTAGAGACTTGTTGAATGGCTTTGCACAAAATACTGATAGTGATATGAACGGTAAAGTCCAGGCTGAGGTGGTTTTGGATGGAGATGAGGAATTTGTGGGACTGGAGCAAAGGTGAATCTTGTTATGTTTGAGCCAAGACTGGTGGCATTTGCACTGCCCTAGAGATAGATGGAACTTTGAACTTGAGAGAGATGATTTAAGGTATCTAGCAGAGGACATTTCTAAGCAGCAAAGCATTCAAAAGGTGACTTGGGTGCTGTTAAAAGCATTCTATTTTAAAAGAGAAACAGAGTATAAAAGTTCAGAAAATTTGCCTCCTGATGATGCAGTAAAAAGAAAAACAAATTTTTTGAGGAGAAATTTGAGCCGGCTGCAGAAATTTGCCTAAGTAGCAAGGAGCCTAATGTTAATCCCCAAGACCATGGGGAAAATGTCCCTAGGTTATGTCAGACACCTTCACAGCAGCCCCTCCCAGCACAGGCCCAGAGGCCCAGGAGGAAAAAGTAGTTTCATAGGCCAGGCCCAGAGTCCCTGTGCTGTGTGCAGCCTAGGGACTTAGTGCCCCTTGTCCCATATGCTCCAGCCATGGCTGAAAAGGACCAACATAGAGCTCAGGCTGTGGCCTTGGCAACTTCCATGTGGGGTTGAGCTTGCAGGTGCACAGAAGTTAAGGACTAAGGTTTGGGAACCTCCACCTAGGTTTCATAAGATAAATGGAAATGCCTGGATATCCAGGCAAAAGTTTGCTGCAGAGGTGGGGCCCTCATGGAGAACCTCTGCTAGCGTAGTACAGAAGAAAAATGTGGGGTCAGAACCCCACACAGAGTGCCTACTGGGTCACTGCCTAGAGGAGCTGTGAGAAGAGGGCCACTGTCCTCCAGACTCCAGAATGGTAGATCCACTGACAGCTTGCACCATGTGCCTGGAAAAGCCACAGGTACTTAATGCCAGATCATGAAAGCAGCCAGGAAGGAGGCTGTACTCTGCAAAGGACAGAGGTGGAGCTGCCCAAGACCATGGGAACTTACCTCTTGCAGCAGCATGACCTGGATGTGAGATCTGGAGTCAAAGGAGATCCTTTTGGAGTTTTAAAATTTGACTGCCCTGCTGGATTTTGGAGTTGCATGGGCCCTGTGACCCCTTTGCTTTGGCCAATTTCTCCCATTTGGAATGGCTGTATTTACCCAATACCTGTACTTCCTTTGTATCTCGGAAGTAACTAGCTTGCTCTTGATTTTACAGGCTAATAAGCAGAAGGAACTTGGTTTGTCTCAGATGAGACTTTGGACTGTGGATTTTTGGGTTAATGCGGAAGTGCATTAAAACTTTGGGGGACTATTTGGAAGGCATGATTGGTTCTAAAATGTGAGGACATGAGATTTGGAGGGACCAGGGATGGAATGGTATGGTTTGGCTGTGTCCTCTCCCAAGTCTCAACTTCAAATATATCTCCCAGAATTCCCACATGTTGTGGGAGGGACCCAGGGGGAGGTAATGAATTGTGGGAGCCAGTCTTTCCTGTGCTATTGACATGATAGTGAGTAAGTCTCACAAGATCTGATGGGTTTATCAGGGGATTCAGCTTTAGCTTCTTCCTCATTTTCTCTTGATGCCACCAATAAGTGCCTTTTGCCTCCCACAATGATTCTCAGGCATCCCCAGCCATGTGGAACTATAAGTCCAATTAAACCTCTTCTTCTTCCCAGTCTTGGGTATGTCTTTATCAGCAGCATGAAAACAGACTAACACAGGGACAGTATGAGCTCATCTCCTACTAGTCTTGTCTTTCTTCTCCACACTACAGCCACAGTGGCTCCATCATTGCCCTAACATGCCAGACATGTTTCTGTCTCACTATCTTTGCATTTAGTCTCTCTGCTGGGAACATTGTTCCCCCAGATGCATGGTTAAGTCCACACACTTCCTCAAGTCTTCACTTGAGCACAATATTTTTAGTGAGGGTGGCCTTGCCTGGCCACTATTTCTCAAATTGTATACTCCCCCTATTACCAGGTCTTTCCTCTTCTTCACACTGTTTTCTTTTGTTCTCTTTGGAAATTATCACAGCTAAAATGCCATACATATTTTTATTTTGTTGTTGCAGATTATCTGTCTCAATCACTAATGAGGGCAAGGTTTTTGTCTATTTTGTTTTATGCCAAATCCCCCATAACTTAAAAAAAGGTCAGTAAATATTTTGAATGAATAAATGAATCAAAGAAAGATCTTCTTGCAGTCCAATGTTGTCAGCTTAGCAATGTACTGTTAGAGGTAATCTTCAGTATGAACAAGAGAGTTTGATTGGGATCTCTACCCATAACTCCTGCATTCTCTCTCTTAATTCAGACTAACGCCTATTATTCTTTTGCTTCTTCTTAATTTGTTTTTCAATTTCCTACCACGAAATGGGATTCCCTTAATCCATTTTAATGACATTTCAAAAATCTAGGTATTTCTTGTACACATCCTTCCTTTACACTCTCAAGGAACTCACAGTTTATAGAGCATACTTTCTCATTTTAGAAAGCACATTACCTTTACCCCCAAAGGAGATGTTGGTCAAGGTGCTCAGTGACCCTGCATGTTTTATTATAAATCCTATGTAGCCTCCCAGCTGTGGAATTAAGGCTGTCTGGTATATGGTTCCTAGGGTCACCCTGAGGACTCTTGTTGCAGACCACAGCTGTGTTGACAACCTGCCAGTTCTCTGGCACACTTAGGCTCATTTAAACAGATACATTTTGTTCAAGGAGGCAATTTCACTCTTGACTTCTTTCATATCCCATGGGTAGATACCATCTGGATCAAGGGATTCTTTTATATTCAGGACCAGTAATTCATAGGGCATTCTGTTACCTTATCCTAATTTAATTTAGTTCCTCTGTTTTCTCTGTTTCAAAAGACTGCAAAGTTCCCATCACATATTTTCTTATTGAAGCCAGGAGTCCGTTGGGCCTCCATTTGTCCTTTTCACCCATGAACACCTATTTTGCACTCTGTCGAATGGTCATGATGATTCTCCAGCCAGCTTTGTGTTTTTCATGTATTTTGAAAGCATGTTTAATGATTGTTTCCCCTGAAACTATCCAAAGTTACCCTGCTCTTCAATTCCAACACAAGTCCTTTTCCTCAGCCTGTCTTTATCTACTCCTGCATTCCCATCATGCTTCTAGTGTGTGCCACATAACTGATCCTCAGTAGGATATGCTTCCCTCTTGTTTCTAATCTGAAGTTTTGTGTTATAGTTTTCAAATGGCTGATGTCTTGAAAAATGCAAAGAACATAGAGGATGTTCAAAATATGCTTCCTGATATGTAGCCTGCTTGATATTGGCTGCAGAGTCTATACAAAGCAATTCTGGATAAACTCACTGTTAAGATTGAAATATGCTAATAGTATTATAACACCTAAATTTGATAAGATGAAGGTGGTGTATATAAATATAAATTATGCACTAGTTATAATTTATAAGTGTAATAAATAAAATATAACAAATACACATATACATTATACCTTAAACAGAATTTAAATTTGTTATTTCTATTATAATGACACTTGGAAAAATAAGTAGATTATAATTAAGAAACAACATTTACACCACTCCATTGTAATTGCTAGTCTCTCTAGAAAAAAGTAGGTTTTACAATGATTAAGAGTATGCAGTGGTACCTTCAATCAAATTATTAACTAAATAGTCAATAGCTCATAATTTAAAAATATATAAAGAAAAGCATAATACAATAAGATCTTTACCTGAAGTCATATGCAGAATAACCTTTGATTGAAAATCCAGAATGTGAACCAGAAAAGTAATGGCACAGACCATTCTGTGCTTTAAAAGGATATTCTGAATCTTTCACCAGTTTTACTTGCATCTAAAAGAAAACAATCACCAAAAATGTTTACTGTCAATTGTTTTATAAATCAAATAGAACTTACTTCACTGTGTCAAAACAGGTTCAATTTCACACACCTTCATCATGTGGATATACTTTGCATTCTTTTTCTTTTTTTATTTGTTTTTTCTTTAGAGACAGAGTCTTGTTCTGCTACTCAGGCTGGAGTGCAATGGCTCTATATCGGTTCACTGCAATCTCCACCTCCTGGGCTCCAGTGATCCTCCCACCTCCATCTCCCCAGTATCTGTGACTACAGGTATGTGCCACCATGCCAGACTGATTTTTGGTATTTTTTGTAAAGACGGGGGTCTTACTATGTTGACCAGGTGGGCCTTAAACTCCTGGACTCAAGAAATCTACCTGTCTTGGCCTCCCAAAATACTGGGATTACAGGTGGTAGGCATTGTGCCCAAGACTATACTTTGGGTTTTTAATATTATAAAATAAATATTTAGGTGCTTGTTCTGGATATCCTAGACATTTAGAGTCAATATCTTTCCTTCTCCCTTACTTCTTTTTATCTTATAGCATCCGTTTGTAGACCCTCCCCCTCCCACCCCCGCCATGGATCTGATAACAGTCATATCATTGTTCTCTTGATGGTCAAATAGGGAAGCTCACTTTCCTCCCAGGGATTCTGGTTCAGTCAACTAGACTCCGTCCAGTGGTTTATACACAGGCAAGGGTTAAGCCAAGCATTCTTTCTATCGCTTCACTTTCATGCCATTCATATAGCATGTGTCAAATGCTTTATAGTTGTCTGTACAGAATCCTCCCTTTTTGAATGCTAGGCTAATAAAAGGGAGGAGACTCACAATCCATTGTTGTCTATAGTGTGAAGCTCCTGGAATATGTGATTAAAAATGCAATCAATGGATAATGGAAGAGATTCAGGTTTGGGAAGCTCTGGCTTGATGACATTTTACAGAACCTAATAGCACCCTCATTGGCAAATTTCATGCAGTTGATTTGGGATCTGGGACACTGTCAGGGTAAGTCCTAGGAACACTGAGGGACACTGTGGTATACTGAGCAAAGCCCTACTGTGGGAGGCTGGGGAATGAAGGTGGAACTGACTTGGCAACCTGATCTCACCTCGTAGGCCTCATTTCTTCATCTATAAAGAGAGCTACAGGCTGGGTGTGGTGTAATCCACAGTACTTTGGGAGTCTGAGGTAGGTGGATCACAAGGTCAGGAGTTCAGGAGCAGCCCAGCCAATATGGTGAAACCCCATCTGTACTAAATATATATATATATATATATATGTATATATATATAATATATATAAATAAAATATAAATATATATATAACTATATATAAATATATGTATATAAATAGTTATCTATCTATATATTATATAAAACATATATAAATAAAAATATAAATTTATATAACTATATATAAATATATGTGTATATATAGTTATCTATCTATCTATCTATCTATCTATCTATCTATCTACCTATCTATCGATATATTAGCCAGGCATGAAGCAGGAGAATCACTTGAACCCAGGAGGTGGAGGTTACAGTGAGCCGAGATAGCACCACCGGACTCGAGCCTGGGCGACAGAGTGAGACTCCATCTCCCCCGCAAAAAAAAAAAAAAAAAATCTGCAAAATTAGTCGCAAAATTAGTCTCTAATGCCCCTTTTAACCTTAACATTCAGAAATTCTATGAAAATAAAAAAATCATATATTTTCATATTTCTGGGGTGTTATGAGATATTCAGATCTGCAAAAAAGCATTTACATATTTTAAAAGTTAAGAAATAAATATAAATATTTCTCTGGAGACAGACTTCAGATTTCTCCCCTTTCTATTTCTTGACAACTGATTCACCTGGAAGTGATTCATTTTTAAATATTCTGATTACTTCAAGCTTTGATCATCTACATTTCTGAATGTGGAAACATTATTTAATATATGTGAGCAAATTGTTTGAATTTTGAACACACAGTAAACAAGCAAAAAAGGAAATACAGAGTTTAAACGGCTGAGAGACTAGTCACCTTGTTCAACCAGTTCAAAGCACTGAGAGTAGAGCCTCCATTGCAGCCATAGTTATTATATGAACAGTCAATGACCTGCTGTACACTTAGGTCTTCCAGCGGCTTCCCTTTTATCGCACATGCAGATTCCACTGCCCCCACCACGCTGAAGGCCCAGCATCCTCCACACTGTTTAAAAATAGAACAAGGGGTAGTATATACAGGGTTTAAATCAACTTATCAATGTATCTCAAGATAACAAGTTATCAAATCAAGTAAGGTTTCCAGAATCTGGAAACCTACAAAATATATATGCCTATCCTCTAGATTTTTAAAGTTAAAAAAAAAAAAAGAAAATCAAAAATCTCTTCTGAGCATCATTTAATTATTAGTCCATGTTGTTAGCATTATTACTATTCTAAATTTGGCAATGCAAGATGAAAGTGAGTATTTAGAGACTGAGGAAATACTTGGACTATACAAATACTGATGCTCTTTTAAAAGACTATTCAATTCAGTGAATATGTGACTTCTCCTTGGAAGGGGCTTTTCGGCTGGAGAGCATGTGCTGACTCCCACCCCCTTCTTCAATCCCTCTTGCTTTTCTTAGGACACTCTGCTTCAATGATCATGTATCACTTCCAGCCTAAGGGTGAGGAGGTGAAAGATGTAATTTGTGCTAATTATTTGATGGAGATGAGATTAATGAATGACTTTTTAGGCTATAAAGATGCCACATGTACCTATTAAGTATGCTTACAGTGGCTGCACATGAAATGTCCTAAGGACATAAACCCATATTAGTCATGACTCCAGTACTGGCTGCCAGTCATGCTGACTGTGGATCTATGAACTTGCTTTTACTTGACAAACTAGAACAAAAGAATAAAAGGACTAGGCCTGAAAGAAAGAGAGGAGACAGAGGAAATGAAATTAGGGATCACGAGATCACACACACACACACACACACACACACACACACACACACACACACACACAAAAGAAGGATCCACAGAAAAGGCACAGGAGAGGAGGATTTGAGATTGGATGAAACGGACTTAACCAGAGGGCCATGTGTGGCAGAGTTAGACCAAAAAAGGAATAAGTACGACCGGAGATCTTTGCAGAGTTAAGTTTTGGGCAACTTTATGGCTTTAAGTACTCTTTGAAAGGTCTATCTATATCTCTAGTGCCTATGGCATAGTAAAACCACTCACTAAGGGTTTAATAAGACCCTACGATAGCAGGGTCTCCAAACCTGGACCAAGGTGAATACAGGTGGCTGACACCAGCCCTATAGCCAGCTTTAGTCAAGCCACAAGGGCAGTTTCTGCATAAAAAGAAAAAAATCTCTCATATATTCCTTTAAAGATGCCTAATTAAAAGTTCCCTCTTTAGGTGGGTGGGGAGGCTAGGAGAGGGATAGCAGGGGGATTGAGGAGGGATAACTTTAGGAGAATACCTAATGTAGATGATGAGGGGATGGATGCAGCAAACCACCGTGGGACATGTATAACTATGTAACAAGCCTGCACATTCTGCGGGTGTACCCTGGAACTTCAAGTATAATAATAATAAAAAATATATATATATATATATAAAATATGTATATTTTTTAAAGTCGCCTCTTTAATACACGGTGGATAATTTTTGGCAGGATTGGATTTACGGCGAATTCACGTTATTCAAATCCAATAATAATCAATGATTTGGTGGTAAAACTTAATGCACAAAAATAAATATAGAATCTGAGAAGCAAAAATCATTCTAACTAGACATGGACTAAGAAACTGCCAGGACCAAAACACTTTCCACACAAGGGAAGGCTGAATGACCTGCTCAGGTTTCCACTGCAGACATATTGAGACTAGCCACCTCTGGTTAGGAGTTTGACTTTCTCTAGTCGGCAGGCATTCCCTATGCCGACAGTGGAGGGTGCAGACAGGTAGGGGATGAGGGGCACGCACCCCTCAAACACCTGCCAGCTACGTGGACTCACTACATGCATTATAGGCCATCGCCTCCACATCTGTTCTTACCACGTTCCTTCCCATTCTAAAGATCCCTTCTTTGATGACTCCAAAATAACTCACAAGCTGCAGCCCTTCCAACTCTCACGTCCTCAGCACATTTTGAGCCCTTTTTAAAGGTAAATTGCTACATTTATTGCAGTACTTACATATTTCCTAATCAGTATACATGTGTAAAACTGTTCTACTGTCTTTATTAATTTTCTGTCTTTTAAAAAATATGTCATTGACTAAGTTCCTAGATAGTGTGACCTAACTGTATTTCTCCCATAATCCCTGTCATGTTACTGCTCAATTCTGCATAGGCGGTGGTTTTCTGGCATGAATGTGTCACGTTATAGCCGAACTGACTACTGACTATACTTTTAAGGCCTACAGATTAAAAGATATATGATCCTGTGAAGGTGGAGCAGGTTTTCTGACAGAGCTTGCAAGATCAGACTTGAGAACCCAGGAGATTTGGCCACACTGTTGGTAAATTTATCCATTTTCATTTTACTTTTTCACCTTTTTCTCTTTGAACTATTTAAGCCTTTAGTGCTCATGTTTACCTTCTCCGGCCTTCTATCTGCTTTGTACAGAGAGCGTGGTATCTGTGATACAGCTACTGGGAACTACCCCTGAGTTAGTTGGTGGCAATGGCAGTTAGTAAGAGAACACAGCAAGGAAGGTTTATCTTCAGGAATTAAAGTCAGGGCTTTGACATTTGCCGCCCATTCCTCCAGAGATTCTCCTTTCATTGTCATTTTTGGATGACCGAGGTGTGATTTTCCTAGAGAAATTACGGGTTCCATTACAAGTTTTATTAAACTTGAACTCAGAGGTGCCTTTCAATGCTTAGATGATTGAAAAAGAAAAGGGATTTAAACTTACCATCTGCTGGTTTCTCACTTGTGTCACAACATGCTTGTCCCTCCAGTCAAATCTTAATGGCAAAGACACATTAGGGATGGACATACGTACTTCTGCTGAGTATCTGGGATACTTGGAAGGTTTGCTTCTTAAATAAATGGCTGAGTAGAAACATAAAATGAAAAGACAACCATTATTATATTATGGGGGGAGGAACTCTTTGGATTCTTTGGGAGAAACTTTTCAAGAGGGAAATGGTAGCCTTCTACTAGACCTGCCATTTTAGATTTGCCTTTGTGCTTTTGTATAACATAAAATGCATTCATTGATGACTACAAAAGAGAATTCCTACAATAAGGCTGGAGCTGATACATAAAATGACTTGTTTGATAGAACCAGGTCAGTAATAAAAATGGTATAAATGATATCATTGGTTCTATTATAACCCATGGAACCATGTGTGTCCTGAATAGAAACAGCACTAGAAAACTGCAGAAGTGATTAGACAGTTGTCCTTTATAGCTACATGGAAATGTTCATGATTATAATATTTGTTTCTTAAGCAATAATTAGAAGAGAGTGTCCATGAATTTATTTTCTTATGTGTGCACACAGTACATGCCTGACACTTAGTAGGTAAATATTTCATATATGTTAACTATTACTCAATTTATTAGATTTATAATTAAATATTTATCAAAAGTTAAGCAAGTCAAAATCAGGAAATCACCCAATAGCACCATCGGACCATACCTTTAAACTCTTCAGGAAACAAATAAGAAAACTGATTTATTCCATAGAAGGCGGTCGAGTTTTCACTGGGAAATAAAGAATTCAAGTATCGATGTCTATTAAGACTTTCCTAAAAGAAAAACAAAAACTATTTCATATCTATTATGTCGGTTTTCCAAAGTAAACTGTGTATAACTAACTTGGAGATATTTTTCAATTACAAACTAAAAGCATGATTTTCTTCAGACTGCAATGTAAAGTTGTATAAGATATGCACAGGAGATTCACAAATATTTTCTGTTAGAACTGTTACCTAATTTCAGACAGTTTTTGAGGCTGAGAAAAGTGTAGTTTATTCATTTATAATTTTCCAGCATTGTATATACAGCTGTTAAAGTACTGACATAGTGGGAAAAAGGTAATATACTGCAAATAAACAGTAAATTCACTCGTGGTTAAAAATTATGAATATGGAATATGTCTTCTTCACCTTTGTATTTCCAGGAACTAAGTAATGAAACATGAAAAACAGACTGAGTAAATAAATTAATAAATCAATCTGATTCTATTAAAGCTTTATAGATCTCTCTATCTCATGTAGGGTGCAAAGGCTCTGTGACAGATGCAATTCTGGAAACGTTCTAAGAAGACAGCCTGGTTTCTCTACCTGGAAGGAAAATGTGACCATTATTTATTGATTTCTCAACTTAGAATTTTGGGATAATTTATCTTAAGCTTATCTTATATATGAGCATGCTTCAATTTCCTAATACTAACCAATTACGCAGAATAAATAAAATTTCAGGGGGCTATCATTTGGTACATTTCCAACCCTAGTGCTTCTGCATATTTGTTTATGTACTTAGTGTTTATTGTGTGTCTGTCTTAAAAACCTATAAGCAAAATGACAACGGGCTTACAGGTCTTATTCGTTACCATGATACCCTCACTGAGCATATGCCTGGCACAGAACAGATCCTCAATAAGTATTTGTTGTTGAATAAATAGATAAATGACATTTTTCATGTCATGCCCTTAATAACTTTAAGCTGTTTATTTTTAAGTAAATTATTGCTGGAAGTTACCGTAATCTTAATTTATTTTCCTTTTGTGCATACCTCGGAAGACTGCTAACCAACAAATAAAGTTTCTGAGGTAGGCAAAAATAATATTGATGAAGCAGGGCTTTCAATATGACCTGGATATATAAACGTAAAAACAGAACTAGAATACAAGGTAATTCTGTCTATGGCAAATGACAAATGTAAGCCAGAGAATATTAACTGCTAAGGAATGCAGTGGATTCATTCAATCAGTAAGTACTGCCTGGACATCTTTGTGAGCTGGAGTAGTCAGGAAGGCACTGAGAATGCAGGATGTTAAGAATGCACAGGAGAGGCTGGGCGCGGTGGCTCAAGCCTGTAATCCCAGCACTTTGGGAGGCCGAGGCGAGTGGATCACGAGGTCGAGAGATCAAGACCATCCTGGTGAACATGGTGAAACCCTGTCTCTACTAAAAATACAAAACATTAGCTGGGCATGGTGGCACGTGCCTGTAATCCCAGCTACTCAAGAGGCTGAGGCAGGAGAATTACCTGAACCCAGGAGGCGGAGGTTGCGGTGAGCCGAAATCGTGCCATTGCACTCCAGCCTGGGTAACAAGAGCGAAACTCCGTCTCAAAAAAAAAAAAAAAAAAAAAAAAAAAGAATGCACAGGAGAGAATGTGGCAGCTGTAAGAATGTGCCTCCAGCCTTCTTTCTACAGGGAGCTTAGTTGCTGCTGGTTGAATCTCCATGATCACAGCAAGGGAAGCCACAGTTCCTGCGCGCTGCACCTAGGTCATGACTGATTGCTAACACTCGCTACTTGAGGGACAAATGGGTCTCTTCTGCCAGTTGGTTTTTGATTAATGACTCCCTGATGGCTTTGCTAAACCTTCAGACTTTTCAAACTTTCCTTGGACTGTGAGACTTCCCCAACCTTCTTTTCCTTTTTCCTTCTTTCAGGGTCAGAATTACACTGCAATCAGATAGCTCTACCTGGCCCTCTTCCTGTTCGCTTATAGGAATTGTTCCTACAATTGGCTAAAAAAAAAAAAAAAAAAAAAAAAAAAGAACAAGAGGTCATGAATGAGCAATTTATCAATATTACGAATGAAAGAAGAGCCATGATTACAGATGCTTCAAGGATTAGAAGAATAATATTTTGACAACTTTATGACAATAATTTGGCAAACTGCACAAAATGGACAAACTTTTGGAAAGGCACAGATTGCCAAAGCTGGAAGGAGAAATAGAAAACCTGACAGCCTTTTATCAACTAAAAGCATTCAATTTGTAAGTGAAAACTGATTCACAAAGAAAACTTCAGGCCCAGATTGCTTTTTGCTAAACTTTATACAATGAAGAATGAAGTAATAACAATATCATCCTTTGAGAAAATCAAGAAGAGAACACACTGCAACTTCAATAAGACCAGTGTTATCCTGATTCTAAACCAGAAAAATATATCTAAATAACATAGAGCTACATACCGGTATCCCTCATAAATACGCTGTAGATGCAAAATCCTTAACAAAATAGCAAATCAAATCTAACAATATATGTAAAGCACAATACATTGTGACCAAGTAAAGTTTACTCAGAAATTCTACGTTGGTTTAAATATTCAAAATCAATCATCATTTTTATACATCATATGAACAGAGAAAAACAGGAATATACCACACACCACACACACACACACACACGCACAAGAGATATAAACTGGTATACCTTTTCAAGATTTTTTAAATGACAAAATTGTTTAACTAAGAAAATCTTATTCTACGAATGTATTTTAGACTCATGTGTTTAGGCAATCCTATAGCCCTAAGCATCGTGTGTGTATGTGTGGGTTCTACACATGTGTGTCTGGTAGGGGAGGCAGTAGTTGAGCCACACACTCTATTTAGTTGGAGAGCTAATGCAAGTTTATTAGATTGTTTGTGACATCTATGAGAAAAACAGTATGTCTCAGGCATCTTGACTCTCTTAACCTTTCCAGCTATGGGTAACAATAATCTTAGACAATGTTCTGGTTAGGGTAAGTTAAGAGGAAAGACGTCATGTTCAAAACAATCTAAGAGTAGAAACCCATGGAGAACAGCTTGAGGAGTCCTCAGATATTTACTTAATCTACTTCCTTGAGAAGAACTCAAGTTGGCAAATGCCAGACGAAACGAATGTGTGCGTCATTGTCAGGGAGTTCCTATGTCCTCCTCTTAATTTTTGTGTTGCCTTATGACTGTCATTTCACCACCCAGAGTTTAGGTGTTCTGGTTGTGAAGTAGTTAGAATAACAGCAGTTTAATACTGAAAAAAATGAATGTGTTATTTATTTATTTTAAATATTTATGTCCCTAATTTTCAATGATGATTCCAATAACAGTTACTTGGTTTTGGTCTTGTGCCATGTGTTTGAAAAGACAAATATCTCCACATATATTTTCTATTTGTTACCACTTGATATACTGTTCTTTGATTTGTGTCAGCAGCACCAGTATCTGCCGGGCTTTTGAAAATGTTGTTCTCTTCCACTTGTTCAACCACGAGACAACTTCTAAGAGAAATCCATCTGCTATTCTGGTGTAATGACTCCTGTCATTTCACAGCCTTCCATATCTCATGTCAGGACCACTCAATCTTTATACAAGTTGTTGACTTCTTGCCAAGAGCAAAATACTCTAAACCACTAAGTGCTCTGTTTTGTCCTCTCCATACCACTAATCCCCACCCACTTGTTTTGATTTTGCAAAACCACTAATAACCTTAAAAGTACTTCCCAGGAGGCTTCTGTACACAGGATAATTATTTTATCCACACACGCACACAAATATACACACACACTAAACGGATAAATTTCTCTAATCTCTTTTTAACTTTGCAACAATCTAAAATGTCTTGCCATTGCTGTGCAATTTTTGGCTATATTCTCAACCTCTCTGAGATTTATTTCCATCAACAAATGGAGTAATACTTAATCTGGCAGAATGTAAGGATTAAATAAAATAATAATTGGAAAACACATATTATAGGGACTGGCAAAATAAATGCTCAATTAAAACACTCTCATTCTATATCTTCCTTTTCCTTTAAACATAGAATATTTGGATTATAGAAATGGCATTCAAAGATCATACTTTCAGATTCAGTTGGAGCAAGCATTTTTCATGTCATTAGAAGTGAGGTTCACTTATCCATTGAAAACAATCAGTTGCTTTCATGGTAAAATAATACTATCAGTATATCCAAGAATATTTATTCTCTTATCTATTCTCTTATTTGCTATATACTTAGCAAGTTCACCTAACATGGGTTTCTCATCATTTAAAATTTATAAAGCCTTGTATTTCATTTCTTTAATTACCAATTCTTTTAAGTGACTTTTCTGGTGTCCCTTGATTCTGGCTATTAAAGACTTCTAGGAGAATCACAAACTGGGAGTCTGTATGGGGTTCTTGCTACTCATTACATCAACAACTTCTGGTAGGTGAAGAATCAGTGAGCACATGTTCTTACCAGAGGGCAACAGGGGATATGATAGTGAGCAAATTTAGAGTAGCCATCTCTAAAGCCACATAAAATATTAAAGAAAAAACCTGAACCTTAACTTGATTTATGAGAGGAAAGATGTAAAGTTTTGATGAACATATAGGAAACTTCCAATTAATACTTTTGAAAAGTACAGAAGTTTAAAAATTAGATCTTACATGGGAAAAATTAGAGCTGATAAATCAGATCATCCTATGAACAGATTTGGTGAAAAATAACTACCTTCATCTATTTTTTTTTTTTTTTTTTTTTTGAAACAGAGTCACCTTCTGTCGCCAGACTGGAGTGCAGTGGTGCAATCTCGGCTCACTGCAACCTCTGCCTTCTGGGTTCAAGCGAATCTCCTGCCTCAGCCTCCCAAGTAGCTGGGACCACAGGTGTGCACTACCACATCCAGCTAATTTTTATATTTTTAGTAGAGATGGGGTTTCACCATGTTGGCCAAGATGGTCTGGATCTCTTGACCTCACGATCCACCCACCTCGGCCTCCCAAAGTGCTGGGATTACAGGCTGAGCCACTGTGCCCAGCCCACCTG